TTGAGAGCTTTATTTTTATATTGAGAGCAAAATTTTATCAACTCCCTACACTATTCTTACTTAGAATTTCTAGAAATAATAATCAGATTCATTTTCCGTTAATTGCTCCCTTCCTTTTTTCGGCCATTCATTTTTCCTTATTTTCCTTTTTTTTTAGCCATTCTTATTCACATCCGGTCGCTATTCCTCTCACTTTTTTTTTTTTTGGTACAATCAATATTCAAACAAAAAGAGATTTTTTCCTTAGTTATTTTTTTGCGCTCAAACAAAAAAAAATTTAATTTCTTCAACAATATATCTCCTAAGTTAAACTTATGTTCTTTGATTCATAGCGATATATAATGATTTTTACAGTTATCATCCTTTGTGTTGAGACTTGTGATGCAAATCTTCTATTAGTTCTCAATTAATAGATTTAATGCTTTTGTGTCTAATTTCGTGTACTTATTTTTGTTAAAAAGACCGAGAATTTAAAATTCAAATTAATTGATGATAATTGAATTATAGAGCTGCATAATTCTTATTATTATTGTTAAAGTCTTGCTGACATTAGATTTATTTTGTCTAAATGATCAATTTAGAGGCCATAGAGATAAATTTGTTTGCTTAAAGAATAAGGATTAATGATAGATTGTAGTGGTTTTTCATTTTTGCATACCAAAAAATATGAAACTAAAGGAAAAACTGAAATTAACTTGTCTTTTTTTTAGAAATGAAATTTTATTACAAAATAAAGTTTACGTGTCTAAATAAGGAAAAGAAGGGAAAACTTAAGGGTTATAAATATACTAATTTCTTTAATATCTTAAGTATAGGTAATATTGGTAGTTGATAAAATTTTGCTCTCAATATAAAAAAAATAACTCTCAATATATCACTTCCTCAAAGACATTGGCTTCAAGCCTTCAATCATGCGTTAAAAACACTGAATTAATATTATGAAACTCTGTAAAAATGTTTCCTTATCGGAAAATTATGGGATAAAAATTATTCACAGCGAGAGGAAATGTGAAATATGATTTGACTGCATATGGGATAAAAATAGGATTTGAACCACCGTTTTCTTGATTTATATCTATGTTCTACTCATTTAAACATAATACATTAATACTCAACCTTTTTAATTCGTAGACGATTAAACGGAGAACATGAATCGACATTAGACCATTAAACGTAACATAGGGTCAATAGACGATTAAACGTAGAACATGAATTGCCATTAGAAACATTTGTGAAAGTTGTCTGCGTGTTGGGAAGAAAAGGAAAAGAAGAAACCTTTCAAGTTCAACAAAAAGGAAGAAGAAGCAGTTCCTGCAATAACTGATGCGATGACCTAATGAATTGACTCTTTAAGGAACACAGTACAAAATGTTCTAAATATAGTTGAACTTCGGATGTCATATGCCGGATTGACGAGTTGACTTAATTAAGTTGCGGCTCACAATTATCGATCATTCTAACTCTAAATTGTTCTTCCTCCTCATTTAAAATGATTGTCTCATTTATTATATTCGAAACAACACAAAACGAAACTAATACGTTTCAGAAAACTCAATTTAAGAAATTTTTACCTACATCATTTCATCCCATTTCATACAATGTTGCATGAAAAAATGAGACCAATTCTTTGCCATGAATAGTTTGTCTAGCTATCTAATTATTTCACAGCAATAGCTACATGATAAAATTAGTACACAAGCGATAAAGGCTATACAGCTCAGTTGGTAGAGCCCCTCAGTTACACTTTACACGACTTTTTTTTCGGGTACAGTAGTATAAACTACTATAAAGTTTCTTCTTCTCTTGTGTTCTTATTATCCTTCAAGTCAACTTTAATGAAGATAAAAAAATATCTCACTGACTTTGACGTCGAAAAATGTCAACTGTGACGCGGGGAATCCGTGGCCTTCTCATTTCTCATAGCCTTAGGTCGGCGGGAGTACATCAAGTCAACCTACTCAATCCAGTGTTCTATTATATACTGTACTGCATAAAGCCATAAAGTATATATCCCTAAGCCCGAGCACATTTTTTATTTATATCAGCGCAAAAAAATTTAATTTCATCTAATGGTGTTTACAATTTTTCTTTTTAAAAAAAGAAGAAAGATCCGTTTCCAAAAGGAGTAAATTTGCAAAACAATAATCAACAAAAAAGGAAAATTAGTGAACTTTTAATAGAATACTTACGATACAACCGAACAAGTAGAATCTTTTATTACACGAGTGTAGTTTATACAATTTTCACATAAATTTAGTTTTACTCTAGTTATTGGTTCAGTTACACACATTATTATTCTCTTCTCTATTCTCGAAACGATTATCTGATTCTTATATATATATATATATTATTTTTTGTAATAAAGAAAGTATATATTATTTTTTAAAAATAGCACTATTCGGAATATAACAGAGGAAGAGCTATTTGAATTTAACTAGTGACGGTTCCTAGTTTTACATGCATCAAGACAACTTTTAGCCCATGGAAATAAAAGTTTGTAGTTCAAATGTTGGAGTACTTCCACTGAGCCAACTTGGCTTTGGGGTGCGACTTCCTGGAACTGAGTTAATGTGGACTTCTAAAAGGCTCTCCATTCTCAATAAAGCACTTGAAAAATATTTTTACCCTTGAAAAATACGTTTAAACATGAGATGGGGGCCTCCTTTTCTCTCTTTGGTTTCTTTAATTTGTGGTCCAATTAGTATATAAAATAACAAAACCTTATACAAAATGAGACAACTATTTATGAGGATAAGTCGGGCCGGAATCACTATTATCAGACACTGAAGCTGTCTTTTGGAGTATTATATCGTTAATTTCTTGGCTTTACAACGTTAATTGTTCATCGTCCAACACGTTAATTGTATATCAACCTTAAAATATAGTATTCATTTTTCGTCTTAAAAAAATAATCCAGTTTATCTAATTTTTCCAGGATACAGGGACTACTTAAACCAATGCAGCTGTTAGACCTCCTCGCTGGTCATTATTACCGGAAAAATTGATCGTTTTCGAGTCACATTTCAGTGATTTGGTTATCAAAATCCGGCGGTACGTAGCTCTAGCAGCCAGAGGTAGTAACACTAGTTTGGCAGCTATGTGAAACTTTGATAAATGGTATGTGATTAAATTTTGAGTTTAATAGATGATGAGGCGGTCCATATGTATGATCATTAAGGTAATGAACAATTTAAGTGAAATAGTAATAAATTCATTAGACAAAGTATTTTCTCTACTGTATTTATAGTGCTCCCCAAAAAAGGATGTGAAATAGTGACATATTGCATCATTTTTTTCTAACCCACTTGTAGTCGGAGCTTTTCCTCCCCACTACAGTTGGATCGTATAACTAAAACGAAAAAACGAGTGGATTAATCAACTAAATAGTGCAATTGAAATGGTATTGTTCCTTTATTATTTATTTTTGTGTTCTTTTACTACCTTTTGAATTTTTACTAATTAAATACCAGTAAATGAAACTCCAATAACATAATCGGCAGCCAAACAGGATTACAGAATCGAATTGAGTAGATATTTGAAAATTGTTCGAGTATTATATTCTTAGTGGTGGAGATAAAAGTTTAAAGAGTTAGGAATGTATATAATATATTATATAGATGATAGAGAGGTCTCAAATCATGAATTTTCTGGGAAGTACTCTAGGCTTTGGCTCTAGGAACTCTTAAGGGGTTAACAATTGGTGGGACATTAATTCATTCATGACGACTACAGTTTATATTATGAACGAAATCAGAAGTAAACCATCAACCACTTTAAAATATTTATATGACTGTTTATATTAGGAACGAATAATTGTACGAGCAGAAACGATATCAGAAGTAAACCATCGACCACTTGGAAATATTTATATGACGAAGAATAAAATCCATTAGGACTATCATCTGCAAAAAGAGTTACTTTTGAACGTAAAACACTCCCTTACGACTAACTGTGAAACAGTAAAGCTACTGTCCTTATATCACTATTTCATTTTTTTTTTTTTTTTGGTTGTGTAAGTTTTCGGAACTTTGTCCCGACTAATTCGTTGGTCGACTCGGGTCGCGCACCTGGCTGTGGTGGGTGAGTCTCCCAACAAGAATTTTTTGCATCCACAAAGTTTCGAACCCGAAACTTTGCTTAAGTGGCATCAAGCTGCTTACCAAATATGCCAACCTCGGTTGGTACTATTTCATCTTTGTTAGTACAACTTCTTGAAAACATTCATACTTAATTTGTGATACTTCACGTTTGTACAACACTTTATAGCCATGATATAGGCTTTGGTACCAAAGCTGAAAGTCACATTAAAACAGTAATAATGATTCACAGTAATACAACTACCAAACAAAAAGCACAGACACACAAAATGTTTCTCTGAATGAATGAATCTGAGCTCAAAAGGGAGAATCGATTTTTCACAAACAATAAATAATGACATCATCAATCAATAAATCCCTATTTCAGCCGACATATCTACCAGAATAAGATAGTTCACATCATATCATTATTACATCCTAACCCCCAAAGCCCTAAGCGTGCTTATAACCTAGATTATCTTCAACTAAACAACTCAGCTTCCACCAAAGCTCATTAACACTAATCCCACAAGTAAAAACAAACTAAACATGGTTAGGCCTAATGACATGTAAACCACCAAATGTCAAAACACAGCTAAGTAAAGTGTAACCTATTTCTTGTTTAATGTTCATTGTAGCAGATTCACATGTGTTAAAACCCGATTTGTTTATTTCGAAAAGTCAAACATCCCAGGCGCCAAATTTTATCGTCTGATCGATCCTGTAACGGCAGTTAGGCACGAAAACAAGCAAATTAAACATACTGTTTAAAGTTTAATGTGCTGCTACTTCTACTTGATTAATCATATTGGCTTGTGTTTTTGGCTGTACTTTTTGTCTCATTTCATCATCCTGAAATCATGTTCCACTAATTTGGGTCACCTGTTCATGTACAATATAAATGTGAGATTACTGTTCTGTATTCATCATCCTCTTTTCAGCAGAATTAGTCATATTCTTCCAACTTTTACCTCTGCTTCAAGAAACCAAAAAAGAGAAAGAAGAAAAACATGGGCTATTGCAAGTTTTCTAAATATAATTTGTTCTTCTTCATTTGCCTCTTCTTTAGTGCTTATGGAGAATACAATAGTAACCAAATCAGTTCTGATCAGGCTGCTCTTCTTGCATTCAAAGCAGGAATTGTAGCCGATCCCGACAATGTTCTCGATTCCTGGAATGCTTCTGGTGTTCCTGTGTGCAACTGGCCAGGGATTCGCTGTCACAAAACAACTGGAAAAGTTGTGGAGCTTGTTCTGAGTCATTATTCTCTTACAGGCACCATTTCACCTTCTCTTTCAAATCTTTCTGATTTGGAAGTTCTTGATTTGTCACAAAACAGCTTTGAAGGGATCATCCCTCCAGAGCTTGGTTCATTGTCACAACTCAAACAGCTCAGTTTATCTTCCAATCTCCTCAAAGGAAACATTCCATCATCATTAGGTTCTCTTCATCAGCTTGTTTACCTTGATTTGGGAAGCAACCAGCTCGCTGGCGAAATTCCTGAATCACTTCTTTGCAATGGTTCTTTTGCATTGCAGTATCTTGACCTCTCCAATAATTCACTTTCTGGAAAAATCCCTTTAAGGAATGAATGTTTTCTTGAGGATCTAAAGTTCCTTCTGCTTTGGTCGAACCAACTTGTAGGTGAAGTTCCTCCAGCCCTTGCCAATTCAACTAAGCTTGAATGGCTTGATTTAGAATCGAATTCGCTAAGCGGGGAGTTACCTGCTGATATTGTATATAGAATGCCTCGGTTGCAGTTTTTATATCTATCTTATAACAACTTCAGGAGTCATCATGGTAACACTGACCTGCAACATTTTTTTGCTTCTTTGAGAAATTCCTCCAATTTGCAAGAGCTGGAATTGGCGGGAAATGGCTTAAGTGGAAAGTTGCCTTCTATTATTGGTGATCTTTCTATTAACCTTGTACAGATTCATCTTGATGATAACCATATCTATGGTCCAATCCCTCCAGAGATTTCGAATCTCGATAACCTTACCCTCTTGAACTTGTCAAGTAATCTCCTCAATGGATCAATTCCAACAGAGCTTTGCCAAATCCAGAAACTTGAGAGGCTGTATTTGGCAAATAACCAACTTTCTGGAAATATTCCATCAGAACTTGGCAATGCTCTCCATTTAGGCCTTCTTGATTTATCCAATAACCATCTTTCTGGAACAATCCCGGATAGTTTTGCTAATCTTTCACAGCTGAGAAGACTTCTTCTCTACGGGAATTCTCTCTCAGGCGAAATCCCACCGAGCCTCGGAAAATGCAATAACCTGGAAATCCTTGACCTTTCACAGAACAGGATTACAGGGATGATTCCAGATGAAGTTGCTGGATTAAGTAGTTTGAAGCTCTACTTGAATTTGTCCAGCAATCTTTTGCATGGACCTGTGCCTCTAGAGCTCAGCAAAATGGACATGGTTCTGGCCATTGATTTGTCATCAAACAATCTCTCAGGCTCAATTCCCTCACAACTTGGTAGCTGCATTGCTTTGGAATATCTCAATCTATCATCTAACCACTTGAAAGGTAATCTTCCCGCCTCAGTTGGTCGCTTGCCTTATTTGAAAACGCTTGATGTCTCAGTTAACCAGTTAAACGGAGTGCTACCAGAATCTCTGAGGGAATCGACCTCTTTGATCATGCTCAATTTCTCCTATAATCATTTCTTTGGAAATGTATCAAATGAAGGAGCATTCTCATCATTAACTGTGAGTTCTTTCCTGGGGAATCCAGGTCTCTGTGGTTCAGTAAGAGGTATGCCAATTTGCCACAGGAAACGGACTCGCCATTTTGTTATGGCGATTCTTGTTTCGCTGGTTGCTTCATCAATCTTCTTCATGGTCGCGTATCCCCTGCTGCTGAAATTTAAATTCAGGAGGCATCTAACAGGTGAAAGGGTGAAGGATATAGAAAGTGAAGAAAAGGAAAGGAAAGAGTTGAAGTTACTTAGGATATCTCATAAGCAGCTTATTGAAGCCACTGGTGGATTTAGGTGTTCAAGCCTGATTGGATCAGGTCAATTTGGTCAAGTGTACAAAGGAGTTCTTCAAGATACCACACCAATAGCTGTGAAAGTACTCAATTCAAAAGCAGCTGGTGAGCTTTCGTGTAGCTTCAAACGAGAATGTGAAGTTCTCAGACGTACAAGGCACAGGAATTTGATAAGGATCATAACAATCTGCAGTAAGCCAGACTTCAAGGCTCTTGTTCTCCCTCTAATGCCAAACGGAAGCCTAGAAAACCATCTTTACCCGAGCCCTGGATCAAAGCGTGATTTGGATTTGGTTCAGTTAGTGAACATTTGTAGTGATGTAGCCGAAGGAATGGCATATCTGCATCATCATTCTCCTGTAAGAGTTGTCCACTGTGATCTTAAGCCAAGCAACATTCTGCTGGATGAAGACATGACAGCTTTTGTCACTGATTTTGGTATTTCAAGATTGATAAAAGGCGCTGATGAGGATACTTCAACCAATGATTCCGCCTCCTATAGCTCCACAGATGGTTTGCTTTGTGGTTCAGTTGGCTACATAGCTCCTGGTACATTTCCATCAAATATATTAACTCTTTATTTCAAACTTTCTTTTTCATGTTACATTTAAAAATCTCAAGTTACTAACTAACATGCTGTTCCTGAACATATATGCAGAATATGGAATGGGGAAAAGGGCTTCAACCCAAGGAGATGTATATAGTTATGGAGTTCTTTTGTTGGAGATTGTAACCGGGAAGCGTCCTACAAGTGTACTTTTTGAAGAAGGCTCAAACTTGCATGAGTGGATCAAGAGTTGCTACCCACACAATCTTCATCCAATTGTTGAAGATGCATTAGGGCGATTTTCGCCTGGTGGTAGGCCTACTACTGATGATCAAAACAAAAGATGGAGGGATGTGATCCTGGAGATGATTGAACTAGGTCTCATATGCACACAATACAATCCTTCAACCAGACCAACAATGCTGGACATAGCACACGAAATCGGATTACTAAAGGAATACCTCTCTTACTCTTCATCTCAACATATCGAAGAGGTTCCTGTTGAACCGATCAGCAATCCCCTCCCATGAGTTGGACTGTGTTTCATGTTCTCTGTGCAGTATTTTTTTCTTTTAATCCATTTTTCTGACATGAGTATCCATGGTTTGATGAAAAGATTCTCATGGATTACATTTTTGAGTTTTGACAACAGAAAATTTTTGTTTAACGACCTTTACGCCATTGTTCTTGCCCACCTGATTTACATTTTCGGCTGCTAAGTTAGTCAATTCTCATTTACAAGTAACTTCTTACATTCTTTGTTTCTTTTTTACATTTTGATACAAAAATCTCCCAATGTACGCAACAGAAGAAAACCAAAATAAAAACACTGTTCACAAACAACCCTTCATGATAACCTGCCTTACACAAACTAGAATGGAAAGTAGACAGTTTCATTCAAAACCAAGGTAAAAGTTTTACTCAGGTTGTATTTTCGGTTGTAATTTCAATGCATTTGATTTGATATTACATCTTCTCTGAAATTACGTAAACCTAAACAAATGAAACTAAAGCGTTTACTTAATTGAATAGGAGAGTTGTTTGGTACATAAAAATGAACAGCAGATGGTCTGTGCGCCTATACACATCTAAGTAGGCAACCAACCAAGTGAAAGCAATTTTGTGCTAGCTTCCATAGTTTAATGCACATCATAATCAGTACAAAAAGGTTATCTCCTGAGAAACCTGACCAGTAATATACTGTTAGCCTAATCAGTGCTTTTAAAGTTAAATCTCCTGAGAGCCTAACCAATAGTATCTCGTCCTCGTTGCTCTTGTAGCTAGTGACCATAATTTGATTTTGATTGTGCATGATATGCAGCCCACAAATCATGGTTTGCAGACTCGAATGGCACTTATAGGCTCCTTTCTGCCAAACATTCAATTTTTAATGTTTGCATTATAGGTAGCTAGTGGAAGGTCAAGATTACCCAACTCACTAGCTCTAAAAAAAAAAAGGGTAAAAAATAAAGAAAAATGATGAATTGCACTGAGAAAAGGGCATTCATGATTGTGAAGCCAAGAATATTGGCTTTATGTAGCCCAGTTCTGGAATTTTCACTGTCAAATTTTATCTCATTCTCATTACATACCGTAACTATGATGTCTCTAAAATGAGAACATATTCAGATGCATTAAATAAAAGCGTGAATTTACGAATAACGTATGAATTTATTGTGACAGGTGCAGATAGTATAACGAGGTTATATCGATCAAAATCGCTCTGCTGCATCCTCTTTTAAACTAAAGGGTGATATGTTTTGCGAGTTACTTCTTCTGCCCTAAAACCTGTCTGTTGATATACTTTAGTCCAACATCTGTTAATGAAAAACTATCAGCACCTGTGATCTATCTGTTTATTGATCTCAAGCATTCAGGCACTACTTGACAGATAATTTGATCTTTTTAACAAGAATAATGCCGATTGTAGTCATCAAATAGCATGCTGAACATGAAAATTGTTGGCAAAATGTGCTTCACAAATCTCATATCTAGACGTAATCTCGATGACAGACACTACTTCCATATAACTTCAAGTTGTGTTTTACTTGCACAACATTAATTTTATTATTTTACTGGACAAATCAATCTCCACTTAATCCTCTTTAGAGGGATATCTTCCACCTACCAGGCACACTGGAAAAAACCTGTTTCATTATCAGCACTCACTATCTCCCAACATCCTCACCCGCTATGCCAACTCCAAAACTTCCAGAAAACGAAGTTCCATTTCCTGCTTACTAATCAGTTAAAATTGCAACATGAATCAAATCAAGAAGTTGACTCTTCTGTATTTTTTATTTACAAGATCTCTTACATGGAGGTTTCTATCCACTTATATAGCTAAGACCTCAATACATGACATCAAAGATCTAAGTTGAATGAATGTGATCATAACAGCTAAGCAGAAAATTGAACTTCAACGGCATTAAGAATCAGAAATACTGATTTACACAAAGAATTTGGCAATATGTGATTATAACTGTTCAACTGGTTAGGAACACTAGACAAAAGAGTTATCACATTCTCAGAGACTCTCACTTATGCATTTGTCTAGAGGAACCAAACTAAAACGCTTTTTCGGAAATAACACCTTTGTACTTCTGAAGTTCTATCAGCATACTATGAAATTCTTGGATGTCAAAAGAATCAGTGAAATATGTTGAATAAAGCCCGTATCAATGATGGAATTTGAAATGAAGCACTGATTTTAGGCAATTAGTCAGTCATAATTTTATGTACAATCGCAGTTGTTCACCAACACATTTTGCACACACCACTTTTCCGAACTTTATGTTCAAACTGAACTGATTACCTAAAATTGGCATTGTAATGCATTCCTACATTTTAAGTTCATAACCTGCAGAGACTATAAAACTCTGCTTCCATCTGTATAAGACTGCCTGCACAATCCAAAATTGCAAGACAACTGATGGCCATATTCGTATATAATCATGCAACAGCAGTTTAAACAATTTAGGATGGCTGAAAGCTTTGCAGGAAGCTAACAGTGAAACCGAATCAAAACTCCAAACTCCAACAAGAACTCAAAAAATAGTAGTCCTGGAAAGATCCTTGAATCCTCTACATGTGCCTATGTCGACCAATATGTTCAAGAAGCAACTGATGGAAGCAATAAGAAGTAGCACGTCCTTCTCTTAATGAACCCTTTCACATAAGTTGGGATGATCCAACATAAAGATTAACATTGTGGGATACTCTCCAAAAAAGATCCTAACAAAAACAATTGGATGAGCATAAAAGTGTAAAGTATGATAAAGGATAGCCCTTGTCCCTTCAGGTGAAGGCAATACTCTTGCTTTATTGATTTGGAGTTTTCTTATGAAACATGAAATTCTGTTTCTGACAGTAAACTTTCTTGATAAATGAGACACAAGTACAATTTATTGATGCACATAACAGATAGCAGTGTTGCTCATATTTCACTTTCTATTACTCAGAAACTAATCCACTTAAAAAGGAAAAAATACTTTTTAAAATTACTGCTTGAGAGAATGAGTCGTGAAATTTCAAACAAAACTTTGTTTCACTATACTTTTCTGGCTTGGTGCCAAATCTGCTGGAAATTCCAGACCTGAGTTTTTTCCAGCATATTTTACACACTGTAAAGATATACCCATGGAACTAAGTCAATTTCATAGAGCAATCAGCAGTGTAATAGTTTCTACATGAAATCCAAAGAGCAATCAGCTCTTGTACCTCCTAGACTCAGCAAACTGGCAGTACGGTATTTATTTCAGTATGGAAATCATAACAATATTCAGCCTGATACAAACTCTGTCATAATGGCAGCTACAGTGGCTCTTACGTGTTGCCAATTAGGAACTCCAGGAAAGGTATAATCACTTCACGAAACTCAAGATTATGTAATTCATATCAAGTTGACAGCATCCAATGTCAATTTTCCAACAACTTTAAAGGACAGTCAGGCTTGTATGTGCATACATAAACATTGTTTAAGCATTTTAAGGATGAATTCACTAAACAAGTAAGAGATCAGGTGACCAAATCAAATCATCAATCAGAAAACAACTAGACATGTTAAAAATAATTCACAGATGTTAAACATTATTAAGAAATTAGAATCTTCAAAAATTTCTTTGCATACAACTTTATAGGCTTTACAAATGTACACAGGTTCAGTGTGGACAACACAATTTACGAGTATGTAGACTTCAAAAAATATGCAATTTACATGTGGTTAAGATGTAGTTACATGTCATTCTATCTCCCTGTATCACAATTGATCTTACATGATTTCCCAAGGATGATGCTAACAACTCTATAAAGCAAAAAAATATGTTACACTCCAACAAATCTTCTCACGGAAATCAACTTAAGAAACCACAATTCTCTTACAGATGCATGAAGCAACCTCTGTCTCTGATAGCTTTTCTTGGTAGAAGTTTCCAAATCAAAACCCCCTTTCACAATAACTACTACCTTCAAAGAGGCGGAAAGCTTCATTTTAGCTGGTTTACATCCAAAAGTAAAGCATTGCCTGTCCATATTGTTGATGAATAGACAAATCAATTTGGTGCGTCTTTAGAAGAAACGACAGGTATGAAATATAAGACATTACAGTGGTGAAGCTGAATTTAAGAAATCATTTGAAATCATGATTTCAAAAGAGAGATACTGATAAGGAACATTTTGCATACCAGAAACCTGTCAATGCAAGACATGAATGTTGAATAGAAAACAAGTTAAACAAGATTACCTCAGAGAGAGTATGAAGAGGTAGATCATCTGTAGGAGTTGGAGCAGCGGCAGCCTCTTTGATTTTCCAGCTACTGATTTCACCTTGTAGTGAACTTAACTGCTCTTTGATCTCTTTCAGAAGTTTCAATTCTTCCTCTCTATCTATACATTCTTTTCTTGAGGCCTGTCTCTCAACTTCAACTATTTCTGAAGCCTGGCCAAGCTTACGTAACTTGGATTGAATTTTTGGAGGTTTGCTTCTAGGATGAACAATCGCCGAAGTGCAGTCCACTTCAACAAGCCCACCACTTGGAATACTTACATCTTTCTCTTGGTTTGAAGACTTCACCATTTTGTATAACCAATGATTATCATCATGATTAGATGGCTTAATAGTTTCCTCTGTGAAATCCGGTTTCTGAAGTCCCTCATCAATTGAAACCACCATCTTTCTCTGATTTCTTCTCTTTAACTGACTATCATCATACCTCTCATCAACCTGGGGGACTTCAAAGACATCAAGTATTCCTGGTGAATCAGCATTCTCATCTTTAATTTCAGTTTCTTGTGGACTCCCACTATGTTTAACCAGATCAATTCCACTGGGAGTTGGATGCAGTACTACGGAAGGGGACAAGTCAGCTGTTCCTTTTATTGAATCATAAGGAATTCCAGATTTTTGTGAAAGCGGCGAAGGCGACCTCGAAGAATTCCTCAAGTTTGCATAGCTAACTCCCGCAATCTCTTTAATGCGGCCATCTAACTTACGAATCTGATCCAAATATGAACTGATGTCCCCACTGCTAGATATGTCTGTCTTCTTATCCCAGTCAGAATTCAAGTCCTGTAATTCCTGGCCTTTGCAACTTTCCACAGTTCTTGAGACCAAATCAATGTCAGGGCTTGAGCAATCCTCACTTTCATTAATACCCTTCTTCAAGTATGCTTTGAGAGATATAGGGGGAGCAGAATTTCTCCTTGACAAGTTCTTCAAACTCATTTCCCCAGCTAGATTTTCATTCCTTTGCAAGAGATTTTCAGGAAATTTTATCTCTCCGATTTGATCTGCACAACCCATGCTTAATAGCTTATACCTATAAGCCTGCACCTGATAATCTAAAGCAGACACCTCCATCTCTTTCTGATACATAATATCTTCAAAAATCGACAACGATTCCTCTGCATAACACATCTTTTCCTCAGCCAATCTTTTATACTGCTCAGCTTCCATTTGCACTGCAGCCTTTTCACCTTGCAAACGCAATATCATCGCCAATGCTTCACTAGCTGCAGTAGAAGAGGCTTCCCTCTCTGCATCCAACTCATTGTAAAGCTTTTGCAGCAGCTGTTGCTGAGCACAGAGAGTCTCTTTCATCATATCTATATCAAAACTAAGTTTTCCCATCCCACTTTCAGCCATTGGCTGTTTTAAGCAACCTGATTTGTATTATCAAAACATGAAGTGCAGAATCAATAAAAACTAACAGTAAATGTACATCTAAAATCCCATAAACCTACATGAAATGCAGAATCAGTTAGCTATATCTAGATTCAAGAAACTCTATGATCCTAAATGGAAAGAATTATCAATATTAACCTCTAAAAAACATAGATTGACAGTTCAAAGGCAATAGAAAGCAATTTCTAGAATGAAAAACTGCTGTGGAGGATCATAAAATAATATGACAACAGAATCAGAGGGTCACCCAGATAGATAAAGTTCCAAACTTTAACAGTGAAAAAGTATCTGCAGGGACTCATTCAAGAACATCTGAAGCAAGCACATAGAACAAAGAGAATAATCACGCCAAAATCCCCGAAAGAAATGACTGTAATTACCTGATTCTGCAGCAGAGGTGACCAGAAAGCAAAGGCCTGCAGGGGAGGAGAAGGACACAGCAACAACGATTGCTACGACAATAATTAATCACCTTCACGAAAATCACCCCAGAACAACAATAAATGATCACCAAATGCTCATTTCTTCAACCCCACATAAGATTCCAAACGCAGAAATTTCAAATTTTGAAACCGAAAAAGCTTGGACAAAAAGGGACGTGGGATCTATGAAAATAAAAAACAAGGGAAAATGAAAAGGGAAAGACCCCACCAACAACAACAAAAAAAGATGGCAAAAGGGAATGCAGAATCCAAAGATACAAATGATTTGGTTTTCTTGAGGGTTAGAAATGAAAGAAGAACAAAGAAGAATATCTGACAGTTAAAAGGGTAACGGTTTCTTTGATTTGTCTTTTACACAAAGGAATTATTTTGGCTTTTCTAGTCATCCCAGAATTTCAGACTTCCCAGGTAGCCCACATTCCTAAGGAGCTCTGATATTCTTCTTACCAAAATTTCCTTAATGAAGACGTATTAACTAATGTTTTTCTTTACATAGTAATTAAGAATGTCAAATCCTCCATTTCTTTTAATGGAGGATCCGACAATAAACATCAACTATGGGTTGACCTTGTTATGTTTCTTGTCCTAAAAAGATATATTAAGATAATCACTCCTGAATCTAAGATGACACGAAGGACTTGAATCTGAGATCAGGGATCTTTTTGTGTATTTATGTGAGCTTGAAGGAAATAATAATGAAAAATGAGGAGAAGTCATCATCTCACTTTTTTTTTTTTTTTTTTTTGACGTTTTTTGTAACTAAATTTCATCCTTATATTATGAATGGTAGGATATGACTGGTGTTTTGAAAACATTCATTCGATTGCTTTTTTTCTTTTTTTCTTTTTTTTTGAATTCAAAAAAGAAAATTAAAGAGCGAAACTCGAAATGTTTGAAATTATCCGTTAAATTCATTTGTCATTTTATTACTTTCTTATTAATAATTTTTATACGATAAAAGGAAGTAAAAGTCTAAAACACTAAATCAAAAACAAGAAGAAATTGACAATGTGGAATTATTTTTAGTACTTTTGTGCACCAAAATATAAGTAAAGTTATAATTTTTTGTTGATTTTAAAATGCTGTCAAGGTTAATTATGGTATCATATTTACATATTAAAACTATTTTTTTTTTCTTAGCAAAAAGATACGTACAATATTGTTTGAGGAGATATTCACAAAAGACAAAATTATATTGGTACCTGAAAAATCGAGCTCCCACGAGGCTAACATTTGGTTACGACAAGATAAAATAAATAAATCCCACGAGGCTAGCATATTTGGTTTACTAGATTCCAGATGACAAATGGACGAATTTTAACTATCCATCTAATAAAAGGCACTAATTAATCGTAATCGGTTTATCTGATTATTATGTGTTAATACATACAGAGACAATTTCTTGCAACAAAAGGGATTAGGACACACTAACTATAATTTATACTATTAACTTTTTGGTTTCATTATCTATGAACAAACATTTCGTTTTTGCCTTTGTTTTGTGGTTTTGCCTATGTACTGATAATGTAAAGTTAAACAAATAAAATAAAATGATTATGAAAATAAAATTAAAAAAAAATTGAACTGGCCATAATGACCTTAAACATCAACGTCTCTAGAATTCTATGTAAATACGTGTTATGATTGACAATGCTTTTAGGTTGTCAAAGAATGTTGTTCTTAAAAAAATAAAATAAAATTATTATTCTTAAGTTAACAAGATGAATGAAAAGGACTTTTCTTATTTTTTCGATTTAAACACTTTTTGATTAATTCTTTTCTCCTAATTACACGTAAAGGGTATCATGGTTTATCATGTTACTCTTCAACGGCTATGATGAGGTATGGCGACGTGAAGGGTCTCACCTCGCCGCCCATTTCTTTTTAAATCTACAGGAGGGCCTCCAATGTACTCATCAAAAATTAATTTCAAAAGAATAAAAAAAACAGCAATAATGATAATAATGATAAATTGCATTGCTAGACTGTATTTGATTAGGTTTTATGATTATCTTACTTTACGAAAAGGTGATCGTGAATTCACAAATCCACTTTTGAAAGGTCTAATTTGTTGAAACTTGGGGCAAATTACTCAGGGAATGATCTTAGGTGGTTTAATGATACTCCCTCTGTCCCAAAATTATTGTCCAGTTTGAGATTTCACTTTCAGTACAATTTGAACTAAAAATGAAAATCCAAACTGGACAATAATTATGGGACGGAGAGAGTTTATAGTTATCTAAAGAACCGACCTGATTATTGAAGCCATCGACACGCATGTAACATGTTGCGCTAGAAATCTCATATTCGAACCATTCCAGCAATCAGATTTTCCCCTTATGCGACAATATGATTGTGTTCATACAGTTGGAAGAATAGCAACTCCAGCCTTCAATAGGTAGTGCATAATAATGCATTAATGTGACTCAAACAACTGTGGAAAAAAATTACATCGAAATTATCCTATCAAGGGGAACGAATGATAAGTCTTAACAGACCTACAAAATGCACTAGACTAACAAATGGTGGTCGTCAATCTACTGGAACTTCGACTTGCCAACTAATAAATTGCGCTCTTTAATTAATCTACAGGAACTTCAACTTCCATTCTTATATCTGTGTTTCCAAGAATCTGCAGAGTGAGAGGAACAGAACACGTCAACAGACCAACACCAAATCCGACATTTTGGTAAAGACATGCTCAAAACAGTGGCATATTTACTATTGCCGATTCTAGGGAGTTGGGATTTAACCAATACAACTAAAACCCGGATTTATAGATTCAGTCAAAATAGATGAAATTCCAGCGAGTAAAACTCATAAATCAGATTTCAGGTGACAGTATGAGTTTTGACACTCCAGAGGGACGATGTATATGCACACAGCACAACATTCAATACCTTTCATGAATAATCAAAGAAGTGAATTCTCTTTCTTTCTCAGCGTTCTTTTCTCAAGCCTCCCTTTAATAGTCATTCTACACCTTATTCCAACTATTTCACTGCCGTGAGTAAGCTCCTAACATGATAAACATTATTCTTCCATGTCTGTGGTCATTTAAACCCTCATAACTTGCATATATTAAGATCATTGGTCGCCTCGAGATGAAAAACCAGTTTCAAGGCCATATAAAGCTTTTGCATGGGCATGGCATGACTAACTCTATTGCAGAAGGGGTAAAACTATAATAGTCAACAGTAGCGTAGTTGTTGGACCCCCAGTTAACCTTACCGATATTTTGGAGTTCAAATCATATCTTGTTTAATACGAAAGAATCACTCCAGATAACGGGATTTACCCCATTTTCCTTTCATTTACTGCCATCCTAAGATTTTGACCAAGTAAAAATAACTCATAATGTTTGTAAACTCTGACTTCCTTTTAGCAGCAAATCCATTTCAATTCAAACCCTAACTGATGCGAAAATCAAAAATAACCCAAAAATAGAAGAAAATAGACATCATGCATAAGTTTACAAGAATTTGAAAATTCAATGTGCAGATATCTTAGCTTGATCTATTTGTTAACAGCTATAACACAACCTTAACGTTGGACACAGAAATAATGTATTACTTAAAGTTGACTCTAATAAAAACATTTTTCCCATACCTTCATGAAGTCAGATTGTACTAGTAGAGAATCCTTGTTATAGCCAGCTTCTTCCAGAACTTTTGTCAGAACTTGCTGCAGAAATCAAATACATATGAGAATTATGGCACACCATAATTCATTTAGTTTGCTTTTCTCTGAAAAAGAGCTTGACTTGACATGCCATTCTGGCCATTGATAAAAGAAAGTGAAATTAACTTCCCAGCTTGTGACAGTGAGGGACCAACCTCTCTTTGTTGTTCTGATATAAACTGTCCGGTCAAGTCTCGCAAGATATCCAACATTTCGTTAAAAGTCACCTTGCCATTACCATCTGAATCATAAACCTTAAAGATGACTGCAGAGCAAAAGCAAATGTCTCAGTCAAGAAAAATAGAAGAAAAAAAAAATAGATATCCAAAAATTGCAGCATAAATAGACTCAAAAGTACAAAGAGAGAAGTACTTACATTCCAGTTTCTGTTGCAATGTTGCATGGGAGCTAAATGCAGACAAGAAAGAAACAAACTCCTTAAAATTCAGACCCTCAAGCATCCTCAATAGTCTCTGGATTGGCAAAGGAAGTCATGATTCAGTATTCACAAATTTTGAACCAATTCAGCTACAAATCATTAGCAGTTTTGGACAAACAAACAGACCAACTATGTAAATTGGGTAAATACTTTGGATTCATGAGTGTAAGCAATTTTTTCACAATAAATTGCAACACATTACAGTGAAACAACACACGTAAACACACTCTTTCAATGCCGATGTTGGATCAACCTTGTTTAGACAACTAACTATACCTAAAAAAGACTAAGTTAAGGTGAAAAAAAGTTTTGCTCCTAGCTGAAACACTAATAAGTTCCTTACATATGACATCAATGTAAAACAGGTAAAACCTTCAACCTTTACAATTTGTTCGTAAGCATGTGGACCAATTCAATTATAAGAAAAGTTCCCATATCCCAAATAGAATTTACATGTTACTTGAACAAAACTGAAGCAGAATACAATATATTATGCAAACATGAAGGTGGTCTCAGTGCCAACTAAATATATATATATATATATATATATATATATATATATATATATACACACATTCAGATAGTATCATCGAGAGAAAATAAACTACAATCAATGAACATGGTTAACAACCAACTAATCTACCCCTCTAGAATTCAAAGATCAACCTTGAGGTTATCGAAAGAGGGTCAAACAATCTAATTGGTTCTGGGTTTTCTATAACTCAATGTAATTAAAAGTATATTCACCTGAGAAAGAGGATTGACGGCGAATTCCGGTACAGACAAGAACTCATCAGCCGAGATGAACCCAATCCCATTGCGATCGAGCTGGCAGAATCTCTGGTACAATGAAACTATTTCCTGCTGTGAAACTGCACAAAGGTGCAAACTCTTTCGTAAAGATCAATTCAACTTAAAAAAAAAACAAGGAAAAGGTCTCAAATGCAGATACCAGAACAAGGAAGGGGAGAATCAAATTTACAGTGATTTTGACCGAGAATGTTTCAAATTGAGAAAAGTTAAAACAAAATTCAGAAAAAGGACAATGGAGTTGAGCAGAGATTTTACAAGTATGATAGCAGTGTTGTTGGACTTCTTCAATGTCGTATTGAGTAAGCATAGACGATGAATTGCCCATTGATTTCTATCTCTTCTTCTTGGGAGCAGAGTCTGAATCTCCCGAGAAAATATAGCAGAAAGTAATTGTTTCAATTTTCAGACAATTTATTATTATATTGAATTTTCTTTCCTTCAGGAGTTAAACTACCGGGCCTAATTAAAACATTGTTTGGCGGCCCAATTGGATGACTTTGTCTTTGTACCTCGGTCTTCTGACTTTGTGCCTTGGCTCTTTTTTTTTTTTTTTTTTTTCTTGAGAAGGTGCCTTGGCTCATATTGTGTCCTTTTTTTGAAAACATATTGTGTACTTGTTTCAAGTCAATTTTATTTTGTTTTAATACTTTTTCTCATTATCCTTCTCATATACTCCTAAATAGTAATCGCAAAAGGGACTATATTTTTGGGACATAGAGAATATCACAAAAAGTTGAAGTATTTTTTAAAGCGTACCGACTATCAAAATTAAAATGACAACGAATCTCTAAAAAACAAACGCAAAAAGTCAAAATTAATTAGGCAAGTCTCAAACCTCCTAATTTCGGGTAAAGTTTTTAGTGGAGATTGTCATCTTACTTGGAAACAGAAGGACATTCTCAAAGATCCTGACATTCCTCATGTACTTGAATACGAGTTGATAAGAACCTTGAGCCCATCAATTTCTTGTTCCTCAATTCTTCTTACAGATTCCTCGACAGACATTCCACATTGATGAACTTCAATTGTTTCCAACGTCGAGATATATGCAAAGTCAGAAGGGATCTCCTCGAGCTGCTTGCATTTCCGCACGATGAGATATCTAAGCATGGGCAAATGATCACTGAAGGCATCCCAATGGACAATGTCCAATGTGTCTAATTTCAAGTGCTTAAGCTTAAGAAACTCCCCTTCTTCCATGGTCCAAGTTGACCCTTCAAATGCTTTAGATTTCAGTTTAAGGATCTCCAGATTAGGCAATCTCCCAATCACTGAAATGTGACTCCAGGGAAGGCGAAACTGCGATAATGTCAACTTCTTTATACTGGAAGGAAAGGTCAAATCATTAGGCTCAAGAACTTTGCCATGGTATATCATATTCAATGACTCCAACTTGCAAAGTGACTCAATTGCTGGAAATGGATAGAGATATTTTGATGTATTTAAAACAATGCACCTCAGCCTTCGAAGGTTGGGAAACCTCGTCATCCTCTTATCGGTTACCTCCCCCAATGCAAAACACGGAGAAGAAAGCGATACCAAGTTAGGCATTTGATCTTCGGCCCGGTAACCCCCAGTGAAGAAAGCATTATTAGTTACATGTATATGCCTCAGCTTTTTCATCCTCCATATGGTCTCCGGTAACACCACTTTATCCTTGAAGCTCTTCACAATTAAAGTTTGTAAATTTTCAAGGTTGGACAAAGATGGTGGGATAGACTCCATATTACCACAAACAGCTAAATATCTCATATTGATGGTTTCCAAATCCAACACCCTGAGACGCCTATAGTTGATAGGAATGAAGGAGACATCGTAGGGGCATTGTGGATGCATATCAGAAGGGGCAAAGAAAAGTAGAGATCGAACAAACGTACCTAAAGGCTTCGATAAAACAAAATGTTTTCGATATACACAGAAACTTAGTCGATACTCCTTATATTCTGTTCCATCTGAAGTAACAACAAACTCAAGTGGAATAGTATGATCGAAACCATTATAATATGAATAAGGCTCATCATCAGCAGATATAGTCAGCAAAAAATTGTCATCTTTAGCTCTCATCAGGCAGAACTGACGGATTACATCATGAACTCGACAAGCTTTAACCATGCCATTTGATCTCCTTTTCGACACAATGACAAGGCTTCTTCCAATCAGGTCCGTTAAGCAATCCTCAGCAACATCCTCGAGGCTTTTGCACTCCAATTTACGTATAAATCCTTCAGCAATCCATAACCTCTGCAATCTGCTGACTAAAATGTCTTTGTCCTCTAGAAATGCTCCAAGATAAAGCAAGCAAGCTTTTAGATGATCAGGCAAATGATCGTAACTGAGTGCTAATATTTTCTTACATTGAGTCTCTGGATCATTAACTACCTGTGAGCTTACGCTGTGAGCAATTTGATTCCAAAGCTTTCGGTTCCTTCCACAACTCCTATTAAGCACACCAGCTACTTCACCAATCGCAAGCGGCAGCCCTTTGCAATTTTTTGCAATTTTCATACCAACTTCAAGCAGTTCTTGCGGACATTCTTCTTTGCGAAAAACTTTCAACTTTAGCAATTCCCAACTTTCCTCCTCAGAGAGCGGACAAAGAGGATGAGGATCACTACTAATTTTTGAAGCCGCATCTTTGAGACGACTTGTTACTAGAATTCTGCTGCCATTTGAGCCATCTTGAAATGGTCTTTGCAAATCCTCCCATGCCTCAGTACTCCACATGTCATCCATAACCACAAGGTACCTTTTCCCCTTCAACTGTCTATATAAGAGTTGTTCTATATCATCATCACCCTTCATCTCATAGGTCTCATCTGTAGTGGAGATTTGTGTCAAGATATCAAGAAACAAGTCTCTCTTTTTACAGTTTTGAGAAATGCAGCTCCAAGCACGGATATGGAAGTGATGCGTGACATTTTGGTCGCGAAAGACATTGTTAGCCAAGGTCGTCTTACCCACGCCTGGCATTCCAACAATTGAAACAATCTCTCGCTGTTGTGTGCCTCTGATAAGCCGATTAATTAGGTTATCTTTATCCTCATTGAGACCAACCATAACTTCTTCAATAACCGTTCTGGTGCCAGCCACTGACCTAACAGGCATCTTTTGCAAGGGAAATTTGCAAACTCCATCACTGGAAGTGTCATTCCTATAAGAAACAGTGAGTTCCTTCTTGATTTGCCTGATCTCATCCAACAGATTATCTAGCCATAGAGCATGCTGCCACGCATCCTTATATTTATTCAACGCCAATCCAACAGCAAGCTCCGCCTGATATGCCAGCTCTACAAGCCGCATTAGAATATGGCACCGTTCATGATTCTGAATGCCTTCCTCAAAAACTTCCGGGAATGTAGATATTATGCTATCCATATCTGAACAAATGGATTTGATGAAAGGAGTTGCATATGCTATGGAGCCGCGATTATGGTCAAGCAGATCTCTCATATTTTGCACAAGAAATTCAATGAAGCACAAACCAGGAGTCTTGGGGACATGATACTTTGGGATTTGGGACCCTCCAAGATTTGTCTTCAAATGCTCAACCTTTTGTAACAAACCAAGAAGCTGAAGGTCCACATCTTTGATAACTACTTCTGCAAGATTGTCATTAAAAGCAAATTGGTTATAGAGACATATTGCTCCACTAGCAACTCCTTCAATATCTTTTAAGATCAACTTCTCTTTCATGGTATTCTTCTTCGTCTTATCAGTTACTACTTCCATCAGGAAAAGGAGCCTACTCTGAAGAGATGCCAAATTGTGCTTCAGGGGAGGCATGAGCAGACTTGCATCTTTCTCTAATAACTCTGGCAAATGTGCATTCGCCCGTATTAGCAGCATATGTACAAGAGACTTAAATAGGAAAATGCTGACCTTGAGATGCACCTCCTCATCAGAAGAAGACTGATACAGAGATTTGACCTGAGAAGGGATTCCTTCCATGATCAACACGATCGGAGATTCTGTTTCTCGTTCACGATCGATGTAACGAGACACTTGGTGAAGAAAACCACACCCTTTGCTCAGGGAATTGAGATGGTTGTCCTTTGAAAGCGTGAGGAGATTGTACCCCTGCTTTTGATGGAAATCTCAGCCTGAATGGACCAAATCTTAGCCAACAAAATAGCATAATGCGTTCTACGAACCCTTGTCCTTTTGGATTTAAGAGGGCCGGCTTCTATAACCACATCTTTAACACCAGCAATTAACATCAAACGCACATCCTCCATGGTGATGTCATTGTGTGGAATTTTGATGAGACAGGTAAATAAGGACAACAGTTGGTTTCGAACCAGTTCAAATTCATGTTTGATACCAATTATGTAGTCAACAAAAGATGTTATGAATGTTTTGTTAACATAATAATTTCCCAAGGATCCTAGAACAATATCCAGGGACTCAGGAGTGGGAGGATCCATTTCATGGTACAGATCCTTTATGAGATGACACATATGAAATACCTCAGAATTTCGGTCTATTGGATCTACCAAGTTAAACCAACAAAGGCAATAAAAATGAGCGATATGGAGAAGCATACCTACAAATTGATCAGCCATCAGGTTGTCCTCCGAAGGAAACCAGGATTGATTGTCATAATCACCCACACTAGTACTTCTCAATTTGAGGACCCAATCCAGGGAATTCAGAATCCGTATCAGGACTTTGCACGGCGAATCGACACGGCTGACCCAAGAAGGCGTCAACAAACCATCCAATTCCTTCAAATTCCTCTTCAGCCTGATGCAAAAAAGCATCCAATTATACGCACTTGTCGTTTCAGACTGATGGCCAAGGTGGATAAGGAATGATAAATAGTCCAACCTAGGAAGCCTTCGGTACATATCATTGATCTCTCGCTTCAACGTACTGATTTCTTCTCTCAAAGGGTCGACAAATCGAAGCAATTTGGAGTCCAGAGACCGAAACAGGTCGCTAATCCCTCTGGTCATCAAGTTGACCAATGTAGGATTGGAAGTCAACGAGCGTTCAACATCAAATATGTCAATCCCGGCACGGTTAAGATGAGTTTCCATTTCTTTTGCAGCAGCTTTAGCTCTTGTAGCCAACGCCAAACCCATCCGAACAATGTCGGCGGAGGACGACGACGACGCGGCGTGACGGTGCCAGGGGTCAAAGTAACCGATGAATGTACACAGAAATCTGAGATCCCTGAATACGTCTCCCACCCTGGATGCTGTAAGGGTGTTAATCTTCCGGTCCGGTACTTTCCGGGATATGTATTCGTCGGCCAGATCGATAGCTCGACTGAAGTTAACCCATTCCTGAGACATCTCTACCGTACGTTGGGACAGCAAAAACGAAAGTCAGACGAAGAATCAACTATGTATGACACACACACACATCAACCGGACATGCTTTAACTGGAATCAATCCGTCACAAACACAAGTTTTCCACTTCTTTTATTATTAATTTATAACAATGCAATAAAATAAAAAAAATATTTTCTACACACCGAATTATTATTATACTTACTTTAATATAGAACACCTACATTGTTACTATAAAGTCTACGGCGAAAATAAAAACAACAGAAATGTCAACGGGAAATGATTAAAATAAAATAAAAAAACGGGATGTATCTCGCAGCCGGTTTAACTACTTATTAATCATTTTTATATCATATATTTATTTTTTCCATTACAGTACATATCTTACCCGGCCTAATCAACTACTTAATCATTTTTTTTTTGTTGATATGTACTCTCTCCGTCCCATAATTATAATCCAATTTTACTAAAATGAAAGATTTTATTTTTGGTCAAACTTAAGTATATTTTACCTTAAACAACCGGGTATACCCCTACATAAGTAATTGTTTAATCACTAAGATTTTATGGAAATATTTTCTACTAAGGACAAATGTGTAACTTGATCCATAAAAAGTCAAATTGGACAATAATTTTGGGACAAAATTTTTTGGGCAAAATGGACAATAATTATGGAACGGAGGGAGTATTTGTTTTTTATTACGAAATGGAAAAGGAAGAAACCTGGCACTGCAGACACAATATTCCAAAAGTCAAAGCAGAGGATGCTATTCACCATGCTATATAATATTTGGCACAATGTATTGCGTCTTAATTTACTTATTTATTTATAAGAATGAGATCGTGATAAAATTTTTAATGGATTTTCTAAACAGGAACGATACTGGACAGTGAAAATATATAGTGACAAATGAAAAGACAAATACATCATCCACTTACTAAACATGTTTATTTATTAATTAAAGGTAAAAATATAATTTTGGGAGAAAAATAAAACTTTTACGAAAAAGTAGCAAAAAGCTAGGGGTTATGATTAATCCATATCAATCACTATATTTTGTCACTATTTTTATTCACTATATATATCATTTTCGTTTATCTTATCACTATTTTTATTCACTATATATATCATTTTTCCTTTTCTAAATGTTCTGAATCAAATTAATCTGATCATATTAGATGGATAGCGGATTTTTCGTCAGGTTTCATTGTATAAGTTTTTAAGACATGTATATACCACCACTTTTTGTTTCTTTTCCTTCAGCAGTTGGCTCTATTTGGACAAGAGTTTTGAAAAGTTGTTTAGAAAAGTCTGTTTAAACCAAAATTTAGAAAAGTATTTTTTGGAAAATAATGCATTTGGACAAGAATTTTTAAAACCCTTTTTTGAAATTAAAAATATTAAAAAGTCATTTGGACTAGGTCTTTTTCAAAATTACTTTTTCTTCAAAATAATTTGTGAACTTTTTTTTTAAAAAAAATCATTTTTACACAAATTATCATTTTCATTTTCTTTAACTTTTCTTTCCTGAATTTTTGTTTTATTATTCACAATGGTCTTGTTCCAAATTTTCTTTTCCACACTTTATCTTTCAACATAAATCAAAATTAGAGTATAATTTTAAAATCATTATGACTAAATTAAAACATAATATTAAAAAACCATTCTAACTTATCAAATGCATAATAACTACAACTATTTGGATTTTGCCCTTTTATTCAAATAAAATCAACCTCTTTGATGAGGTAACCCAGGTAAGTAAAGAGCCTCAATTTACAAAACACAACATACAGAGCACCTCAGCCCAAATAAGTACTTTGTGGTTGCATAAACATCATCATATTCATATTAAACAGTCACCACGGCAGCTGGTAGGACCATAAGAATATCAACTCCACCCAACTCCTGTGATTAATCAGTGACTAGAGCACTTGAACCTCTGTGGGAATTAAAGAACTTGATTTCCAAGCATCCATATTTTGAGAGGCCATTTAGACTAACATTCAGCAGTGGGTAGAGTTTAGTCTACTTCTTCGAATACTCCCTTGCCCCGAATATGGTGGATCCAATTCTGACATTTGTACTACCCATTTCAATTTGCACAATTCAATTCGTGCATATATTACTCGAGATCTTGAATGAAACCCGACACAGTAGCCAAGCAGAACATCTATGGAAACTAAACTGGAAAGTAAGGAAATACCATAGACGTAAATTATATTGCATTAGCAATTGCCTTAAGAGATAAAATTTATGAGTTGCAGATGAAGTTGATTATCTGAGTATCCCAAAGTAAAGAAAAACAAAAACTTACAACAAGCTCAAAGTCTCCAGACATGCCCATTGACAGTTCACATTGCTCCTCCTTTAGTCCTAGGTCTTTACACACTTCAGCTCTGCAGTTTGCCAATGTCTGGAATCAAGTGTATTGTCAGATAACAACCAACTCCAATTGAACTGTATGAAGGAAAACAATGCTACGGACTTATGTAGCTCCCAACCTTGAAATTTCGGGCTGGAAGTTAATCAGGCATTCCTATTGTCATTAAGCCACTGAAAACGAGATTTGGACAGGATACAGTAATATGTTTGACAAGCTCCAAACAAGGAGCTGGTTCGACACCAGATTTGGCTGCAAAAGACAGAAAACAAAAGATATAATTTTGACTATTTTCTGAAGCTCTTTCTTGAAGGAGACATGTTCTTCACTTGTTTCTTTCTTTCAGAGTGCTTAGTTGTTTCCATTTCTTCTATTGTCAATGAGAGCAACAAAAACATGAGAAGCAACAAAATGCAGACATCTTCTTACAACAATGTTTAAAGCTTTTCAATGACAGACAACATGCACCTACATTCTTCTCCACTTGTGTTAACTTGGACAAAGAATCTCAAAGGTTTTCTTCCAATGTTTCCTACTGCACGATCAAGGTGATTGGCAATCTACAAAACCAAAGACTTCTTTACAGAGCGAAATTGGAAAAAGGTGCTGCAGATAATCATGGTTTCAGATATTCGAATTTTTCAAAGGAATTCGTACAAAAGAAGTAAAGGGGTATTGTAGATAATCATGACTTCAGATATCTGAAATTTTCTAAGGCATCCGTATAAAAAAAACCTCATAATCAATATAGTAGTGGCACCAAGACCTAAGTGGAGCTCATTTTTGGCTGTGCTACTCATGGTATACCAGACATAATTCAGTAAAACCACAAAGATATCGTACAAACTAATCATAGAAGCTTTAATAATGAAAATTGACACAACGCAAGAACAGAATTACTTTAGGAAGTTACAATGGATATAGAGTTTCTATACCTTCTCATCATCAACTGTTTCCACCACAGCAAGATTTGGTACTCCAGCTGCAAAATGGATCAAGAATGGCTTTATTATTAACCCACCCACACCACAATCCAAGAGTGACAACAATATAAGCAAATGGACTTCCTTATGCCCCAGAAAAAGGTCCAGCTCCTCTTTTTCGCTTGTATATGAACAGCATTCTATTTGCATTTGTAATTCATGAACACATTTCCACACAACTTCTTTTTATCCAATCAAATTTGCATTATCAATGGCCAATAATTTGATCATTTCTAAGCAATCACAAAGTATTATGAGAAATAAGCTTTTTTACTTTGAGGAGTGAGGGGACAAATAGGTCTTAAAATGGAGAACTAGGAAACTTACTCAAAAGAGGCTTCACTTTATTGCTCTGCAAATTTCCAATAAAATGCCCTCCGGAAGCTGAAAATTTTCCCACCAACGAACAATTCAACCAACTTTGCACCTAGTGATTCAAACTTCATCGGAATAATAACAATTACGATCGACTACTAAAGTGTCGCAATATATACTTACTTGAGGGGATTTTTGGATAACCTCTTGGACGTAATTCTCGCCGAAGCAACGGTGGCCGGCGTCGTACACTTGTCGTAATAGAGAAATCGGTTTGGTCTTGCTGACGACCACTACTCGGATTTCAGAATTGTACATATGGAAGGAAGCTCAAACCATACAAATATGATTAATAACTCAGTAGATGTACCATCAATACTAAAAAACCATTGCAACTCCAAAACAAAACACATACTAAGAAATAGAAACAGATTCATAGATGAACAAAAAATAAAGAGACGTACTACCTTGGCTGTAAACCCAATATCACTATAAAGATCAAGAAAAATAAATTCCATTTTTTTTAAAAAAAGATGAAAATCATCAAACCCATGAAAGAAAAACAAGAAAAAGAGTCATTACCTTTCAGATTTGAAAGAATCAAAGCTCCCAATACGTCCACAATAAACTATGGAATTGGAGTTTCAAATTCGTCCAAATTTTTCCAGTCAGCTATGGAATTTAAGACCCTTTTCTGTAAACCTCCGAAAAATAATCGATTTACTTAGAAGGATTTCAGATCTGGAGTGAGAGAGATGTTTGATTTGAGCTCTCCATGACAGCGGCGGCAGCGTGAAGGATGCACAAAATAATGATGCATAGTACGGCCGGCGTTTCTCTTTGTATAGTTAACCCGAATTGCCTATACCCGGTATTGACCCGTCATGGAGACCCGCGAATTTTTTTTAATCCAAGCTAAAAAGTCTGTTCAGAAAATTTGAAAAATGCCTGTCACTTATTTTCTAAAAAGTTTGTTTCAGACCTACTTTTTTCAAAAAATAATTTTAGAAAAAACCTTAAATTTGTTAGCCAAATGACTTTTTAACTCTAAACAGACTTTTTAGCCTTAAAAGTCTTTTTAGAACTGTTGCCCAAATGGAGCCTTATACTCTATCTTCTTGTCGAAATAATTATTCAATTGAATTTTCAATTTTAGTAAAGTATTTTGAAATTAAAAAATCAAATTAAATAATCATTTTAAGATAAAGTGAGTAATGAATAATAAAGAACGGAATAATAAGAATTATATTGGTTAAAAAGATGAGTAAGTGTCTATATGTTTATATCCTTTTTGCTCAAATTTCAGGTGTTTTGGAAGATGTCTTTAGTTCCACGAGTAACACGAACCCTACTCCGGGGATGCAGAAGCAATAGCCTAACGACTAATATATGCCTTCGTTAAAACACTCTACCACTTTCAATTTCTACCACAGTAGCGCTTTAATTTGCCGGTGCTGATGATCGACGTTATCCGTAGTAATGATGTCAACCTAGGTGGAATATCCATAAACATATCGAAAATGTTTAGAATGCATAACGACTTTTATACTAGATGGATGACAAATGAAATGCGCATAATATTATTGAGAGTCCACAAATTGTATTTGTGTTGTTATATTATACTAATATCTCATGACTCGAATGTATTAAATTGATTGGGTTTTGTTGTTATTTTTGCTAGGAGATGGAAATGAGAGAGAATTGATCTGTTTTTGACTATTTGAAACAATCAGGAATCTAAATGCAAAATCAAAGGACGTTGAGGATTATAATGAAGAAAATTAAAAGTCAAGGGACTAAAGCAATAGAAGTCGATGATGATGTATCACTTGCGAGAATTTTTGACCAAATATATTTTCATGGGATGGGTATGGACAGAACTATATCGGGTTAGAAAGAGAGTAGAAAGAAGTGTTTCAGATTTTTCAAATCTGAAAATAAGGTAATTTCGAATTTGCATAGTCAAGGGACTAAAGCAATAGAAGTCAATGATGATGCATCACTTTGAAGAACTTTGACCAACATATATTTTCATGGGAGGGGTATGGACGGAACTATATCCGGCATGAGTAGAAATAAGTAAGTATTTTAGATTTTTTAAATCTAAAAGTAAGGTAATTTCGGATTTTGAAAATCCGAAAGATATGTATTTGCTGTTGACCGAATAGGTCTTTCGGACTTTTGAAATCCGACTTCCTAGCATCAATTGAACTTTCGAGTTTCAAAAATCCGTAAAATGTACTTCTGTCCACAAAAGAAAAAAAAAACTTAAATGTCCATATAATATTTAATTAATTCCCGAAACTCCCTCACTCGCGAATAAGAATTTTATGTGGAATTTTCATAAGACGTTGACAGAGAAGTTTGCAGAGCTGCAGACTGGTGACGGTGGTCGGCATAGCCATTGCTACTATTATTTATTTTGTTAGATCATAACTCATAATAAAATCTCATAATATAACCAAATGAAGAATTCTACCAATGGTGTAGGTAGACAAATTAATCAAGATCTCTAACTTGTGATAGTTCCGATTTTCCTTCATCCAAAGCTGTTCAATAAATTTGTACTAGGAGGGGAAAAAGAAAAAACTTCAATAACAAATATGCATCGAATTTCTTTTTGGATATCATTGGAGCCTAAATGAATTCAATCAACTTCCTCGTCCGAGTGATCATAGGTGTCAGAAATCTTCACAGCTTCTTCGGAGATCTCAGGGTTGTCATTAAACTCCATGTTGCCAATCTTCTCTAGTCCCCCAGCCTCGAAAATCAACTGCGCATAAATATTCCGGCCCCCCGGCATCGCCTTCTTCTCCAATTCACCAGTCCTGAATATCCTATCTATACTCAGTAGACACATTCGAACCATGTCTAAATCACGGCTCCCGAGCAGGTCACACATTGGTAGTATGCATCCCGTAAGGACAACAGACCTATATATATATACATGCAAAATTCATATTTGTATGTTTGTCGCTCCAAAATAAGAATCCAGTTTTATGAACCACTCTCTCTGTCTCAAAAAAATTATCCACATCGAGTTTTGAGATTTATACTACTTTTAGTACAAATCTTAAAATCTAATGTGAACTATTTTTCTGAGACGAAAGAAGTATATTTATATTTTGGTATCATAAACAAATTTGAAAACTCAATGTGAAAACTATTTTTTTTAGATCAGAGTACTTATTAACCTGATGTGCTCGGGAGTTCCACGAGTGATAACATGGAAAATAACCGATGCAGCTTCCTTTTTTAGATCAAATTCAGCAGCTTGAAGTAGATAGACTAGAGGTCCAATCAGATTAGCATCAATAACAGCCTATATTTCGAAAAGCACGAGCAATTAGATGACAAGAATGGTATTTTGTTCACTAAATTCTCTAGGCGGACTCATAACGACTTGCGGGCTATTATATTCGAACAACACTAATATAAGACTAATTGCAAAGGGACAAAACAAAACCTGGATTTGATCATGAGTTCCGGCAGCGATGTTGGAGATGATGAAGCAAGCATCTTTCTTGATGCTTTTCATGATGTAATCACGAGACAATATTTGCAGCAAATGCAGGAGCCCTCCATGGTCAATTACGCACTGCGAATTAAATGATACAATGAGCAAAATACTTGAAACTATGCAAATATCATGGCCATAAAATTTAACAATTTCATGATTTGAAACTCTTAATTACCTGAGCCTGACGTTTATCCACCGCCACAAGATTCCTTATAACATGAACTGCAGGAGCCACCACAGCTCGTGATGGATATCTGCAATGTTACATTCACATTTTTCAACAGTAACAGAAGTTGCAGCAAACGAAACTCTTAATAAGGACGAAAAAGGGTATCTCATGGAACAAAATGGAGAACCGAAGTCCAAATAATAGTAATATAAGACTCACGAAAGTAGCTCCACGATTCTTGGAAAAACTTCAGCCTCAATCAAAGGTTGGATTTTGTCGATTGTACCATCATCAGAGATATAACAGAGAGACAAGAACGCGTTTCTTAACACTTCTTCGTCGTCTAAATAAATCAGGCGCTGAAGCAGTGAATAGGCAGGTTTCACCTGACAAATTATATTAAGATTCCCTTCAACAACACAATCTGGAAAAATTGACGGTCTAATGAAGTACGATCAATTAGAGTTAACAGAAAGCATTGAAATCTAGTAGCTAGCTAGGCCATTACTTGCTCAAATGGAGGTTTAGGGGTGCCCTGGCAAAGAGCTGATAAAACCCAGGTAGCTTTGCTTAGGATTTTAATCTCTGAAACCTTATCCATCAACTCCAGCAAATGGTTTAAAACTCCGTGATTCAGGACAATGTCACGAGACATAGGCGAATCGCTAGCAATATTTCCCAACAACCAAACCGCCTGAACATTCCATTAGAAGAAGATTCAGCCCGCATGATGTGAAATACAGTTCTCACAAAACATGGTTAATCATTCAAACATAATGCACTTGATATATTGACCTAATTTTGAAAAAAAAAGAAAAATCTGCATCGTCATTTTAGGTCATGCTCATTGCACCTGATTTAATCAAAGATATATAATGCCTCTTTACTAACACAGAATCGCAAAGGAAAAGAAAAAAAATGAAATTACGTACCTTCTCACAAACATCTTTGTTAGGAGAGTTAAAAAGCTTAACGAAAAGCGGTACAACCCCGTGATCAATCACTAGCTTAGTATCTTCAGATGATCCAGCAGTGACCATGGTAAGAACTTCTGCAGCCTCAACCTGTTTTATTAATTAATTGGATTTCGCAACACAAATTAATCAGGAAAATACAGTTAGAAAACTGAAAACAAAGAAAACAATAATACTTGTCGTGACTCTAATAGCTCACTTTGTTGATCCAAAATAGAAAACAGAGAAGAGTACCAAAATCAGGTACAGGAGAAGTAATAATTTACCTGAAGTTGCGGAAAATCGTCCTTGTTCAGGAACTCAACAAAGAAAAGAAGTATTCCAGGGTATATTTCGTTGAGAGAAAAGCTCCATTCTGTAATTCCAAAATTTTTTAAAATTGTAAAATTAACCAAGGAATTTTTTTTTTAAAAACAATAAAAATTAAGGAGGAAGAAAGAAAGAGTGAAAAAGCTGTAGTTTTGAGCATAAGCGTGGGAAATTGGTGGCAGTACTCCTTTCTTTCATGAACAAAAAAAATAATAATAATAAAATTACTGAATTAGTATAACAAAATGAAATATTTTTCTAATATACATTTTGACGTACCTGATTTGAGCAATTCACGAATGTACTTTGCTGATTCTAACTGCCAGTTTGCATCATTTGATAAAATTCCAGATAACACGAAGAGCTCAGGTATCTGTAATATAATGTGCACAAACAAGCAATAAGTAAGCCCCCGTCGTAACAAAATTTTGAACATCGGATGTCACATAATAACATTTTCACCATTATTAATTATTAGCAAATCCAACTGTACCAACCTCTTAGGTCGTACGAACTAATCAATTATCAGTGTTAAAAAAACAGGTTTAAGATTCAAGTAGCTAGAAATGAAGACGAATGGAAACACACTCCAAAAGTTGTCATGTTGACCTAAAAAACCCTAAAAGTAGAACCAGGCGCAAACTTTACAAGCTACATTAATTTGACAAATATAAGAAGTCTTCCTTTATAGAAACGAAAACATGCGAGAAAATTTTCGTGAATTTCTATCCAAAATGTTCTTTCCTTCTCTCTGTCTCCAAGATAAAATTCTTACATCACGGGTTGTACTAACTTTTTTTTCACGTAAAAGAATTTTGTTCTTTGAGAACAAAAAAGGATGCATCTTCTGCCTTTTTTTTTATAGATGTGTAGCTGTCTTTTTATTTTCTACGATCGTTTTTAGTGTTGTTCTAATTTCATTTGGACTTCTTCTCGAATCATTTCACTTTCCTTAGAGATTATTCTCGTGCCTTAAAAAAAAAACGGATTATGGGTGAATGGTATTGATGGAGAATTGTTTTTTTAAAATAATTAAGAAATTTAAAGTCTAAAACTATGTATACATCTCCCCGTCTACCACCGAAGCTTGAATGGAATATGGTCCATTTCCAATACAATTATGGATAGTACTATAATTAAACATATACGAAAAACCATACATATACGGAATTTTGAGTTCAACATTTTTTAAAAAACAAAGTTTTCAACCAAACAATATTAGTTAGTCCTATCTCGGGCAATAGAATTATAGAAATAACCATATCAACCTTTTACACTTCATTGATATCAATCCAAATTGAATCGATCGATGAGTATTCGAGACCAAGAACACAGAAGATCGAAGCTGCTCCATTAATCATCCAAAGTAATTCAAAACCCTTCTTTCTACCCCAAAAACAACAAAAATTAAATTGATTAGAATTAATAACCAAGAAATCAAGAAAATTTCACCTTTCCCTGCGGATTAAATACCGATTTAGCAGAATGCCGAAGTTTCATTTCTTCTTTGTCCTTCTGAATCCGCCGTCGGCGGATGATCCCATCCGTAGCTCCCTTTGGTCGTCTCACATAAGGCTCATCCGACATGGCGCGGAGTGGCTTAGATAACATCGTTTCTTTTCTTATTCTCTTTGTGTTTCTTTTTTTTTTTTTTCCTTTTTTTTTTCCAATCGAGCAATTAAAATCCCGTCGCCGCAACTCTTAGACGGGGGAGGAAAAAAGAAAAATTCTTGACAGAGGTGTGCTGAACTAATTAGAACTATTTGTTGTGTTACTTTGTATTTATTTGTATGATGTATAAATTAGTAAATATCGTAGAGTAGTGTGTCTAATTTTGGTAGTTCCAATTATGGACTTTTGCTGAACAAATGTCAGAGGTGCACCCTTCAATTTTGTCTGAGATGCATGCAATACCACGTTGGCCTTTTACCAAGAAAGAAAGACATATAAGTCCCATCCAAATTAGATATTATGAATAAATGTATATATACACGCAAATTAGTCAATAATCAATTAAGGTGTGTGTCAATCAATTTAAGGAACCATAGTTTAAATGATGGGAGGTATAATGTTACATTAGTCGAATTTGAAGTTACTTCCAATGTGCGTGTGAGATGCACGTTACGGTGGATGAATTCCTTTGCGGTGTAGGGTTTTAATCAGCGGATTATTACAGTTGGATTTTTCAGGAATGAAATGACAAGAGATTTTTAAGTTCCAAGATGGCGGTGTTTAAAGTTGATTTCTTCATGTGCTATTCACCATGTCTCAACTTTTTCCTCGTTTGTTATTACCTTGGTATTCCATATGTAATAATACTCTATTAACCAAAGTGATTGTGGTGGAGTGGAAGGGACTTCTCCACCTTTAATCATAGATTGAAGGTTCGAACCTCACCATGGACATGGAGTAGCTTTAAATACTTTGACCAGATGTCCCACCCATTGAGGTGCTTACAATTCAGTGAAGAGATTAGTTCATGTTGCCGATAGTGAACACCCCGCAAATATGAAAAAGATAAATAAATAATAATACTCTATTAAATAAGTTACCAACAGCAGAATGTAACGTCCCCTGCCGCAATTTGTTCTCTCAAAGAAAAGTTATCAAGTTATCATCCACCTCTCCAACAAACAAACGTAATAAATACACGACTTTACAAAATAAATATTTATAACGTGATCGTTATGACAAAGTATTCAGTATGTCTGTGTGTGTATGTGAGTGTGTGAGTGTGTGTGTGTTTATGGTGTGGCTCTGAAAATTAGTACTCCCTCCATTTTTTTTATGTCTTTCTAGAGAATTTATCAAAACAAAGAAGACATTAACTAATGTAGTTAAAATACAAAAATACCCTTATTAATTGTATATACAATTTATCACTAAGCAATAGAAATTTATTATAAATATTGTTTCATTTCCAATGCAAAGGTAATTTTAGTAAAAAGTGGTCAAATGTGCCTCGATTTGTGAAAACGACATATATTTAAAAAAATTCACCAAACCATAAAACGACATATATTTCAAAATGAAGGGAGTAATAAGATATTATAAGACAAGGGCACAAGGGAAGGAGGATTTTGTATTTCATATTCTCACTTGCAAATAAATATTTTATTTTATTCGAAAATTTTACTTTCTGGAAAGGACTTAGTATTATTTTACTCAAATACGGATTAGCTAGAACAAAGAAATTAGTAGATGCCAATAGGAATGGGGAGAAAAGGACATCAATATTTGGAGGCTGATAAAAGAAGAAGAAGAAGAAGGTAAAGAAGAATGGGAGAAAATCAATCATCAAACTTGGCCAGAAAGTTTTCTACGTCTTGACTCTAAACTCTACATGTCAGATTTAGTATACTGCGTCGCACAATCAGTAAGACCGAAATCTGGTTCAATTATGGGACCGAAAGAAGAAAGAGTTGATCACTTACTACTGGGACGTTAGAAAAAGGAAGACCAGGAAAGCTCCAAAGGTAATTTTAGGCCAGAGTCTTCATGGTTGTTACATCTTTTCTCAACTTGTTGAAACTTTATTCAATCCCACCGTCTTGCAGCCCTCAGGTAACCTGTTCTCAAGTTCCAAAGATAATTAAGAATGATGCGATTTCTATTAGTTACCTGATCTTAGGTTCAATATGTCCCATCAATTAGCACCTCGAATCCTAAATATCGATTAATGAAACAAAGCAATATGACGTAGACACAATATCATGTATTAAACAAACCAAAAGCAATACATTGACTATATCCAAGTCTTAAATTAAAAGTATGTAGCCAATAGACATAATTGAAACAGCGCAATATTATTAACAATATATAATCCCAAGGTCTAAAATTAAATTAAACAAAAAAATGAAGCTAAATCAAAAGAACCGATGGAAGAACTAAACATTCAACTGCAAGACAATGGACCATCATCACTCATCTTAATCAACTTCCTCAATAATAGGATCTGCACCACCATAACCGCCACTCCGGCCGCCGGCCGAGGGAATCTCCGGGCCGTCATCACCTGTGTACATTCGAGTAATGATGGGATTACAGATACTCTCCAGCTCTTTCAACTTGTCATCAAATTCCTCAGCCTCCGCAAGCTGATTTCTCTCCAACCATTGAATAACCGATTCATTGGTATCCTCAATTTTCTTCTTGTCCTCTTCACCGATCTTGGAACTGATCTTCTCTTCCTTAATGGTGCTCCTCATGTTATATGCATAATTCTCAAGAGTATTCTTGGCTACAACTTTCTTCATATGCTCTTCATCTTCAGCTTTGTACTTTTCAGCTTCCTTCACCAGATTCTCAATTTCTTCCTTTGTCAGCCTTCCTTTCTCATTTTTAATGGTAATCTTGTTCTTTTGGCCCTTTGTCTTGTCCTAAGCTGACACGTTTAAGATCCCGTTGGTGTCGATGTCGAAGCAGACGGTGATTTGAGGCACACCTCTAGGAGCTGGAGGAATGCCAGAGAGTTCAAATTTGCCAAGCAAATTGTTGGCACTTGTTCTACTTCTTTCGCCCTCGTAGACCTGGATGAAAACTTGATAAGAACATGTAACATGGCGGCCATCCAACTTGTTTCATTCACAGGGCCAAATCGGCCATATATATACGTACAAACAGAAACCCTAAGTGTTAGGGTTTACTAGACAATGACTAATCTACCCCTGGAGATTATATTCATACATATATATTTTATTACCCCCCTCAACTTGGAGCATGCGGGTTACAAATGCTCAACTTGGAAAGAAGAAACGCAAATTGACGGTGACCCAAGGCCTTAGTAAAAATGTCGGCTAACTGACTATGAGTGGAAAAAAAGCGAGGAGAAATAAGTCGTTGGGTAAAAGCATCATGCAGGAAATGACAATCCACCCCATATGCTTGGTACGCTCATGAAAAACAGGATTGGCCACCAGATGAAGAGCAGACTGGCTATCACAATGAAGCTGCATGGGCTGGGAATGACCAATACCAAGACTAAACAACAATGCCTTCAACCACTTCATCTCACAAACAGTAGAGGCCATAGCCCGATATTCAGCTTCAACAGAGAAACACGATACAACTTGCTGCTTCTTAGTTCTCCAAGAGATAGGAGAAGAACTAAGAGTAACAAACCAGCCAGAAAGAGAGCGACGAGACAGAGGACAACTAGCCCAATTAGAATCACACCAGTCGTACAACTGAAGATCGCTATCAGAACGAAGAAGAATCCCCTGGCCGGGAGTCACCTTCAAATAGCGAACAATGCGAAGTGCCACCTCCCAATGAGTCTGTCGTGGATGTTGCATAAACTGAGCCAAAATATGAACAGAATAGGAGAGATCAGGGCGGTTAACCGCCAAGTAAATTAATCGACCGACTAATCGACGATAACGCTCAGGCTCAGCGAAAAATGGACCATCATCTAGCGGAAGATGATGATTTTGCTCCATAGGAAATGCAATTGGTTTTCCACCCAATAACCCCACATCCGAAAGAATATCCATGGTGTACTTCCGTTGACAGAGAAAAATTCCAGAGGCATTACGGGCAACCTCAAGGCCAAGAAAATACTTAAGCTTTCCGAGGTCCTTCATGTGAAAACAACGACTGAGATAGGCCTTGAAAGCAGAAATAGCAATAGAATCGTTCCCACTATTGACCAAATCATCTACATAAACCAAAAGTACTAAGATTAATAGCACCACGATAAAAATTAAACATCGAATAATCAGCAGAAGACTGAGTGAAACCATAAACCTTCAAGGCACTAGCCAATTTGGCAAACCAGCAGCGGGGAGCTTGCTTGAGACCGTAGAGAGATCTCCGAAGACGACAGACCTGATGAGAAGTGCTAGAGTGAAAACCGGGAGGAAGCTTCATGTATACTTCTTCATTTAAGTCGCCATGAAGAAAGGCATTGTGGACATCCATCTGGTGTAACTCCCAATGCTTGGCAGCAGCAACAGCCAAGAAAGTATGAACAGTAACCATTTTGACAACAGGCGCAAACGTCTCAGTATAATCAATACCCTCAACTTGATTGTTGCCAAGGATAACTAACCGGACTTTATATCGCTCAACATACCCATCAGCAAGATATTTAAATTTTGAAAACCCATTTACAGCCAATGGCGCGTTTACCAGGAGGAAGGGAAGTAAGATCCCAAGTATGATTCTGTTCCAAAGCACGAATTTCAGCATTCATAGCCGAGCGCCATTGTGCATCCTGCATAGCCTCGCGAAAGGTATGAGGCTTAACGCCTGCAGTGATGGCTGCCAGAAAAACCCGATGATCAGATGGAAAAGAAGTATAGTTTACAAATTGTGTTATAGGATAAGGAGTACCTGAGGACGAAGACGAAGCTAGAGAAGCAGAAGGGGGGAAGCTAACAGTGTGGCGAGCATAACCATGAAGACGAGTAGATGGAAACTTAGTACACATACCACGGCCCAAAGGTGGTGAAGAAGAGACTGAGGTAGATGGGTCTGAGGGCATGTCAGTAGTAGGAGAGATAGAAGATGTAGGAGGAACAGACGATGAAGACGGAACAACAACAGGCACAGGATCAGAAACACCAGAAATATCATCATCATCAACAGGAAGACAGGCGGACCCGTATCAACCAAACTAGAGGAAGAATCTCTAGAAGTCGAAGAGATAGTAGCATAAGGGAATTCAGGTTCACAAAAAACCACATCCCGAGAAACCAAAAATTTTTGTTGCTCCATATCAAAAACCAACCAACCCTTTTGAGTGGTAGGATAACCCACAAACACACACTTTCGACTCCTAGGTGCAAACTTATCGCCCCCTAGCTTGGTTATGCACATAACAGAGACAGCCAAAAACACATAAGTGTTGAAAGGAGGGGGTGGTACCATATAACACTTCAAAAGGGGTCTTGCTATGCAAAACAGAAGAAGGAGTACGATTAATCAAGTAAGCAGCAGCCTTAACACAATTGCCCCAGTACTCAATGGGTAAACTAGCCTGAAACAGCAAAGCATGCGCCACATTAGGAATATGACGATACTTGCGCTCAACACGACCATTTTGTTGCGGAGTACCAACACAAGAAGTTTCATGCACAATTCCATGTTGACGAAAATAGGTACGCATAGACAGAAACTCAGTGCCGTTATCACTACGTACAGTTTTGACCGATTTTCCGAATTGTTGGTGAACCATAGCCAAAAATTCACACAAGCTATGAGAAATTGAGGATTTATCTTCTAATAAAGAAATCCAAGTAGTGCGAGAAAAATCATCAATAATAGTCAAGAAATATCTAGCACCACAAAAAGTGGGAACCCGATACGGGCCCCATAAGTCACAATGTATCAGAGAAAATAAATCCTTATTTCGAGTACTACTGAGAGAAAAACTATCACGAGAATGTTTGGCGCGAAGACAGACATCGCATGTTTTATTTAAAGATGTAGTACTAATACTAGAATCAACTAGTGATAACTGATGGAGAACCTTCGAGGAGGGATGACCAAACCGCTGATGCCACAACTCAGAAGAATTAGTAACCACAGCTCGAGCAACCATTGCAACAGATACTGCCCGGAAGAAATAAAGTCCCTCCAACTGCTCACCCGCTCCAATCAGCATCCTCGTAGTGCGGTCCTGAATAACACAATATTTATTAGTAAACTTGAGCAGTGCAATTAGAGTCCTCCAACAGATGATACAATGAGATCAGATTGCATTTTAAACGAGAAACAAATAAACAATTTTGATAAATCACAGAATCACTCAAATGCACCATGCCCGCCTTCGAAGCATAGGTCAAAGTACCATCGGGTAACTGAACCGGACGAGGAGAAATATCCCTCACATCCGACAAAAACTGCACAAAACCTGTCATATGATGAGTTGCATCACAGTCATACATCCATGTATTGGAAATATGCTTACCAGAAAGAGGTTCAGCGAGCTTAGTTTTATGCAAAAGAGAGACAAGAGTCTGGCACTGATCTGGAGTAAGACTGGAAGTTGCAGGTTTATCATTGTCTGTTAAAACCGAACCAGCAAACGGAGTGCCCCAGACCAAAACCGAATTAACTTGTGTGGAAGCAGCTCCAGAACCGCGACCCTGAGTGGAGCCGCGACCACCCCCACTCGAACCGGCACTAATTGAACCTGGAGCGCCAAAACCAGAAGCAACCCGATTGCTACGACCACGGCCAGAAGAAGACCGCCCCACAGACCGACCCAAACCAACACGGTTCATCCCCCACCACTCAGGATAGCCGATCAGGTCGAAACAACTAGACACAAGATGACCTGGCTTGTTACAATGGGAGAAAATCACTAACGAATTGACCTTTGAAGTCTCAGGTTTATCAGGAACCCGAGACCGAGATGGCAGCCGAGAAGACTGAATAGCAAAGCTCAAAGCATCAGCAACCGGTTCCGCCGATGGAGCCGAAGAAATAGATCGAAGACGTTCCTCTTGCACTAACAGAGAATAAGCACGATTGACCGATGGAAGAGGGTCTTGTGCCAGTAAATGAGAACGAACACTGCCATAAAGGGTACTATCCAAACCCATCAAAAGTTGGTGAAGCTTTTCAACCTCTCGACGGCGCTCCGATTCAGTATAAACCTCAATCGATCCACACGAACATTTCTGAAGCGGTTCATAAGCCGCGAGATCTTCCCACAACTGCTGGAGTTTACCATAATATGAAGCCATACTGAGCCCCTTTTGTGAACAAGTAGCAAGGTCCGTCTTCAGTTGTTGAATTCTAGGGCCGTTAACAATACCAAATCGGTCTCGCAGGTCATTCCAGAGAGAAGAGACGACTTCGCGATGAGGAATGGTGGAGCGAAGAGCAGGGTCAATGGAATTACAGAGCCACGAGATAATAAGGGAATTGTTTGTCCACCAGTCGTCCAAATCGGGAGAGTTGGCAAGCGACTAAGGGATGGAACCATCCACAAATCCAAACTTTTTCCGGGTACGGAGAGCAGTACGTACGGCTTGACACCACTCGTCATAATTGGTTTATTTCAGAACAACTTGGGTGATAACGGAGCCAGGATTATCACCGGACGTCAAGTCGTAGGGATCGATTGTTTTTAGATGAGAAGGGTCCACAACAGAAGTGCTGACAACAGTAGTAGCAGCAGGCGTGCCGGACGTGGACAAGGAAGTACCGGTTGTCATTGAAACAAAGCCAGCAGCAACACAGAGCACACAGAGATTGCAGGTGGCAGCAACACGAGGAACAAATCTGGCAGAAACAAAATCGGCAGCAACACGAGGAAGACGCATAGCAAGACGCACGCACGCATGCAACCGGATGAAACAGCAACCGGCAGCCGGCAGAAACACCGCAACACAGAGCATCGGTAGCTTGGACAAATATGGAGATGCCGAAAGATGAAGAACGAAAGCTTGGACGTGCGAAGCGGCACACATGAAGACGCACGCAAACGGCAGCTTAAGTACAGACGGACGCACACAAACGCACGCACACAGAAGCCGGGGGGAAGACGACAAAATGCAATTACAGACGGCAACTCCCTCTCTTTCAGCCCACCGGAGAAGAAGAGAGTACAACTTGTTTCAGTCCACCGGACAAAACTGATCAGAGGAAAAGAAAATTACTGGTGACGGCAAGAGTTTTGGAAGCCTGATACCACGATAAGAACATGTAACATGGCGGCCATCCAACTTGTTTCGTTCACAGGGCCAAATCGGCCATATATATACGTACAAACAGAAACCCTAAGTGTTAGGGTTTACTAGAAAATGACTAATCTACCCTTGGAGATTATATACATACATATATATTCTATTAAAACTGCAGTCTGATTGTCGGAATAGGTTGAGAAAATCGCCTCCTTTTTGGTCGGAATGGTCGTATTTCTCAGAATCAGGACACACATCACACCTCCGGTGGTCTCCACACCGAGAGACAGATCGTATTTCTCAGAATCAGGACACACATCACACCTCCGGTGGTCTCCACACCGAGAGACAGAGGAGCTATATCCAACAGGAGCAGATCTTTCACCTTCGGATCGTCTCCGCCACTCAGGATGGCGGCCTGAACTGCGGCGCCATAGGCGACAACCTCATCCGGATTGATGCTCTTGCAGAGTTCCTTACCATTGAAATAGTCCTATAAAAGTTGCTGGACTTTGGGAATCCGGGTCGACCCGCCCTATAAAAGTTGCTGGACTTTGGGAATCCAGGTCGACCCGCCGACACTGCTCTTATCCATATTCGCATCTCTCAAGCACTTCTCAACTGGTTCCATACGTTTCCTGAACAAATCCATGTTCAATTCTTAGAACCTCGCCCGAGTAATACTGGTGTAAAAATCAATACCTTCGTAAAGAGAATCGATTTCAATTGTGGTTTGAGCAGTGGATGACAGAGTCCTCTTTGCTCTTTCACAAGCTGTCCTCAATCTCCTGGGTGACCTCGGGTTCCCCGAAGTATCCTTCTGGTTCTTTCTCTTAAACTCCTAAACAAAATGGTTCAACATTCTGTTATCGAAATCCTCCCCACCAAGATGAGTATCTCCAGCTGTAGCCTTAACCTCAAAGATACCTTCTTCAATGCTGAGCAACGACTCGTTGAACGTACCGCCTCCGAGGTAAAAAATCAGCACGTTCTTCTCCCCATTGCCGCTGCCCTTGTTGTCAAGACCGTAGGCAATGGCCGTAGCCGTCGGTTCATTGATGATTCGCATCACTATAAGGCCGAAAATTGTGCCGGCATCCTTCGTCGCCTGCCTCTGAGAATCATTGAAGTAAGCAGGGACGGTAACCCCGGCATCCTTTACCGTTGATCCGAAATTTGCCTCGGCGATTTCCTTCATCTTGGTTAAAACCATGGAAGAGATTTCCTCCGCGGAAAACTGCTTTCTCCCTTATAAGAAACCACAATCTTTGGTTTTGCCCCTGGTCCGGAAGCATCATGGAATCTTCTGCCAATCAGTCTTTTGGCATCAAACACGGTGTTGACGGGGTTCATTGCGACCTGATTCTTGGCCGCATCTCCGATCAGGCGCTCGGAATCGGTAAAAGCTACATAAGACGGCGTTGTTCTGTTGCCCTGATCATTAGCTATGATCTCAACACGATCGTGCTGCCAAACTCCGGCGCAGGAGTAGGTCATACTGAGATCGATCCCGATTGCGGGGACTTTAACTTTTCCGGCCATGTTTTGTATAGAAGAATCAGTAACAAGTAATTTCTTATTTTTGATGAATAAGCTCTGAAGACAAACTTTTCTCTTCCTTTGGTGATTATGTATAGGTTCTCCAAAACATAACCCTCCAAAAGCATTCATATTGATTTTCCCATCCTTAAGTCGGTGCCTTAATCTCGCATAGACTCGGTTTTCCGACTTCAGTAAATAATAAATCAGTGTGGAAATTTTCCTTTTCCTCCTCAGTAAATAGATCAATCTGGAAGTTTCCAGTTATTATTATTATTATTATTATTATTATTATTATTATTATTATTATTATTACTATTATTATTATTATTATTATTATTATTATTATTATTATTAGGGAGCGGCTGTAGCCCGTTACAGGACGGTTTCATAGTTAATTAATAACCGTTAGACCAACATAGTTAACTAACAACCATACGATAAAAAAGGTGGTGTATTATAAGAAAATAGTCTAAAATCTATTTGATTATACATAGCACACCTACTACCAGTTTATTACTGCCGATTGATTATTATCGATTGATTACAGAGGTTGCCCGTTCAAAAGGGTGGAAAAAAAAATAAAAATCGGTCAACCCTAAATACACTACCACCGGCGATACTCCGGCTATTTGAAGAGGACGATCTCACGTTCTCCTTCTCTTCCGATTTATGATGGCAAAAATCACAATCATACAATCTATTTATAATTTCTCAATCGAGGTGGATAACCAAAACTATGTAGGAAAAATATAGGCCAAATGCTAATAAAGAATTAAATAAAATAATATTTGAGTCGCGCTAAAAAGCACCGTCCTTAAGAAACTACTCCAATAGTATTGAAATGTCTCACAAGGATTAAACAAGCCTTCCTCAAATGATAGAGTGAATAAGAACAACTAAAAAAATATTAATCCAACAATAAAGAATAATAGAAAGAAAACTTTTTATTTTAAAGACCAAAGAAAATTGTACTAAAACAACTCAAGGCTTTTGTATTTAATGTGCCAAAATCAGTAAACAAAGAGAACCAAAGCGTTTTGGTGATGAATGAGAAAATGGGCTTTAAGCCTTGAATGATCAAAAGGAAAAAGAAAATGTGGGAAAGAAAGATCGGAGAAACTAGAAAATGTTTGGTACCTTTTTTCTCACTCAAACTTGGCATTTATTTATAGTGCCAAAATGTCCCGTTGCTGCCCCTAAAATATCATAAATATGATTCTCCATTTGATAAGATTAAGACTTTTAGTGGCCAGATTTTAGGAACAGACTACTAAGACTCATTCTCCCATTTTGACTTGGCATTTTGGGTTTTATCCAAAAATATGTGAGATGAACCAAGTCAATTCTACAACACATTTTTACTAATTAACTTAGTAATGATAAAAATATTTTTGAAATATTCAACAATCCCCCACATATTTCAAAAGATTTAAAACTATAAGAATAAAACATACAAAATTTGTTGGATATGTTTGGGTGCAGTGTAATCAATCTGGTGTCTTTTGGACTATGAACCAAACTTAGATTAATAAAATATAACTTACAGAATAATTGGTGAAATTAAAATTTCTATGAACCAAGTATTCCATTTGTAGGACAGAGATTTTATTAACCACAATACGAACCCATATTTTGCTGTTCACGCGGTTTTGCGTCAATAGGCCATGCACGTGCCTGGTTATTCATGAGAGCTCTAAAGATCCATAGTTGATTTAGCATACATCGTCTGTCTCGATGATTTTCATGCTATAGCACCACCACCAAGGGTGAACACAAAACCGCTAGTAGATTTTGTCTCATCTGAATCAGAGATCCAGTTAGCATCACTATACCCTTCTAATACAGTGGGAAATCCACTATATAGGATACCATAGTTCATGGTTCCTCTCAAGTATTTCATTAGTCTAACAATAGCAGACCAATGCTAATGATTAGGATTATGAGTATATCTACTCAGTCTACACACAGCATATGCAATATCAAGCCGTGTAAAACTCATTAAATGCATTAGACTCCCAATAATCTGAGCATATTTAGACAGAGCAACTGGGTCACCATGATGTTTTTTCAATCGAGTGTTAGCATCATAAGGAGTGCTCACCGGTGTCACATCATAGTTTTCAAACTTCTTAAGAAGTCGTTCAACATAATGTTCTTGTGACAACATTATACCATCACTTCTCCTTATAACTTTAACACCCAATATCATTTTTGCTTCACCCAGATCTTTCATATCAAAATTAGATGATAGAAAATATTTAGTACTTTCGATTACTTGTAAACTAGTACCAAATATAAGTATATCATCCACATATAAGCATACAATCACATATTCACCATAAATAGTTTTAGTATAAACACATTTGTCCACTTCTTAAGAAGTCTTTCAACGTAATATTCTTGTGACAACATTATACCATCACTTCTCCTTATAACTTTAATACCCAATATCACTTTTGCTTCACCCAGATCTTTCATATCAAAATTAGATGATAGAAAATATTTAGTACTTTTGATTACTTGTGAACTAGTACCAAATATAAGCATATCCTCCACATATAAGCATGCAATAACATATTCACCATAAATACTTTTAGCATTTTTAAGACTTTGATCAAATTTCTCATGTCATTGTTTTGGAGCTTGTTTAAGGCCATAAAGAGATTTAACTAATTTACAACCTTTATTTTCTTTTCCAGAAACAACACATCCTTCGGGTTGAACCATATAAATTTTTTCTTCTAAATCACCATTTAAAAATGTTGTTTTTACATCCATTTGATGTATAAGAAGTTTATGAATAGAAGCTAAAGCAAATAGTACTTGAATAAAAGAAATTCTAGTCACAGACGCAAATGTATCAAAAGAATTAATATGTTGTTTTTTAGAATAACTTTTTGCCACTAGACGAGCTTTATATTTATCAATAGATCAATTAGGATTAAATTTTCTTTTAAAAATCCATTTGGAACCGATTGGTTTTGCACCAGGTGATAAATCTACCAAAATTCAAGTTTTATTTTTCACAATGGAATCAATTTCATTTTGAATAGCTTCTTTCCATAACTTTGCATCAGAAGAGTTTATTGCTTCATTATAATTTGAAGGTTCATAATCAGCTAGAATAGTTTGAAAATCGTTTTCAAAAGAAAAGAGTTTTCTTTGCCTTTTGCTCCTTCTAAATTCCTCCTCAATGGGAATTTCTTTATCACATTCAATAAGGGCATGAGAATTTTTATTTGACTGTGGATAAATATGTTCAAAGAACTTAGCATTCTTTGTTTCGATAATAGTATTATAATCAAGCACATCACTTTTCAAAACAAGAAATCTATATGCAGGACTATATTCAGCATATCCAATAAGCATACAATCAGAAGTTCTACTACCAATTTTCCTTTTCTTAGGGTCTGGTAGTAATACTTTAGCAAGGCACCTCCACACTTTTAAGTATTTCAAATTAGGTTTATAACCTTTTCATAATGCATAAGGTGTTTTACCAGTCTTTTCAGGAGGAATTCTATTTTATAAGTGACATGTAAATAGTATAGCCTCATCTCATAAATTATCAGGCGCTTGAGAGCTTACTAACATAGAGTTCATCATTTCTTTTAGTGTTCTATTTTTCCTTTCAGCTACTCCATTTGATTCAGGTGATGATAGCAATCTCGTAGATGAAGCAAATTTCGTTAATACAACCATCAAACAAGAAAGTACGAAGATAATTTGTCTATCACGTGAAACTCAAAAGAGAGCGGAAAATTCACAGTAAGACGATCGTTTATCTAAGGATTTCTATAACTTAACTCAAACCAAGCAAAGAACACATAATCTATGAAAAATTTGAATTAAACAACAACCCACACTAAGAATAGTAAGGACACCATTCAATATACTCGATCAGTCATCATTCAAGAGACTCAAGAAAGGTAGGAGCAAAGAATGCTCAACTATGAAGGAATACTATTGATTAGTAATCTCCATAACCAACAAAGATATGCAACACATACACTATCTCAAAATGCTTATGCCAAAGCACAACTCATCCAACAAAAGTAGGACAAACCCCACAATGGAACTCATGAACACACACATCATGAATTCGAAAACCATAGCCAAAAGAAAGGCTCAACTCTCGAACTACTAGAAATAGTATGAAAATAAGAAGTTTAGTTTTAAACAATTCTATCAAGAAGCATACTTGAAAAAGAACGGTTTCTGCAAGATCCAAGACAAGATGAAAACCCTGTTGGTTAAATCATACTTGACAAATGAAAAATGTACACACCATTTAACAAAAATTCCTCACCGGAAAAACTCTCATTAGAGAAGACTGAAAATGACCACACATGGGTGCTTTAATTTTCGGCCATACCCTCCTATTTATAGGCTACGAATTTCAGCCAAAGCACCAAAAAGAAGACAACTAGGACTCTCTAATCTTATCTCACGCAGGAGTAGAAGTAGAAGAGTATTTGATCTCTTCTACCAGTCTTTTAAAATATTTCAAATATTTCAAATATTTCAACTAGGACTCTATCTAAAATCTAGGAAACCTTATCTAAATGACTTATCCTCAAATAAGATAATACTTAGAAGGAATCTAAGATTACTAATAAAAAAACTCTAGTTTAATTCAGCCTACATGGCTTATCTTAACTAGATAAAATTCAAGAATAACTCCTACACTAGATAATACTCTAAATCTCGAAATTCAGCTCCAAATATTGAAGTAAAATGTCTTGAACTCCCTTCCAAAAGTGGAATATTGGTCTTGCGCCCCTCAAGTTTTAGAAAACTCCAATTTACTCCAAAACTTGTAGAATTCTCTTTATTGACTCCAAAAGATTGGAAAAACACTTGAAATAATTGAGATAGTTTGCAACCTATCCAATTGTGTAGCAATGTACTCAATCTTGAACACTTTGATCAAATAGGCCGTCCATTCAAGAACCTAAATGACTCTTCTCTCTAGCTTGATCAATGATCTTCATGGAGCACCTAGAGTCAAACTCCCTTGATACTCTTGAGCACTTATTTCCATGAGCGAATCATCTTCTTTGGTTTGAACCCCAAAGTTAATGACATTCTCATCATCTTGATCATAGCTCGTTTGAACCAACTCCCTATCACATAGGTAGTCAAGATCCATCTTTTCTTCCTTGATTAGCCTGCAAAGTAAACTTCGCATTCCAAAACTAGAATGAAGGACTAGCTCATTCCCCTCACTAGGAGAATCACCATGGAAGGCTATATGATTCTCATCGGGTGAATAAGGAGGCGTTATTTCTTTTGATATTGTAAAATGTTCCTAGAAAAATTCAGTGAACAATAGTTTCTTTTGATAGTGAGAGACAACGGTAACATGATGTGGAGGCTATTCAAAAATGTAAAAAATAAATTAATTAAACATATGAAACTAATCTATAAGGTAATATGTATTTGGTTTCCTTAAGTATTGGCTAATTGTTTTACAATATTCGTAAAATTTAGTTCACCTCCAGTCCCCTCCCCTCAGGAAAAAAAAAAATCATTTGGGTGATTTAACAAATGAATTATCTATCGGAGATGGGAAGATTGTAATTTGATCATGATTAGTTGTAAATATAGCTTATAGTGCATTATGTCAATAAAAACTAATAAATATAGTTTCTCGATTTTATTTTTGTATATTACGCACTCGGTACTGAATTTACTGCTCCGACTAATTCGGATTTGAGCCGGTATAATAAATATAGGTACTATATTTGTTTTTATTATTTTGGTGTTTTGAATTCCTTGATGGCATTTTCTCATTTTTCTTTAATATAATTTTTACATTTCTCAAACATATGTTTACATTTATCAGAAAGAAAATATAGTAAAGCGAAATAAACATACAGACAAAATGCATGTTGAAACAAACAAGCAATACCCTAATTAGGGTTTTAGGTTTGAAGCGCTCCTAATAGACTATTGCTAGGTAGTCAAATCTAGTGGTGACAGAATTGACAATGCAACAACAAATGATATAATTGTGATTCCTTACTATGAGAAGAAATCTCTTTCGGATTAATAAACAACTTGTTGTGTGTTCTGTTCCTAAAAATGTGTAGATTTGTGAAATAATTTTTTAATCAAAGTGTTTGAATCTCTCATGAGCGTATTTTGAAGATTATAAACACAAAATTAACCATAATATATATTTATAAAGAGGATAGTTATCAAAAATATTAGGTTTACAAACAATTCTTCTCTAATGAGCTTAACCACACTACTACTTGCCACTTTTGGACACACAGATGATGAACTTCACTTTCCAGATTATAGCACAAAAAAGACACCCATGTTACTTTCAGTCCTGCTGTATACATAATTTCGTTGATAACACGAAGCAAACAAAAAAAAATGCATGCAAAACAAACAACCGGTACCCCTAATTAGGTAGGGTTTTGTAGGCTTGTAATCTTTCCTAATAGGCTACAGTAGGCTGTAAAATTGGCAAGGCTAGAACAAATGCAATAATTGTCGCAACATTGCCTAATTTCCTAGATCTATTGATTCTCACTTTACAGCCAGTTGAATGAATGAATTTTCAAAAACTAGCTGTCTCAACTCCTTTTCTTGAACAATTTCTGTTCTTTTACACTTTTTTAACTATATGAGGTAATCTTTACTTAATGAATAATGTATTTTCAATTTTTTTTCTTTAATTAACCACCAATCTTTATAGTCCCATTCCAAATCTTTTGTCCTTGCTAGCTAGACAACCCGACTCTTTATAGATGCAATCGAATAACACTTACTCAATGTTTTAATCATTTGTACCTTCTATCTTACCCTCGCAAGAACATTAAATTTTTGCTTCAATTTTCCGTTGACCAGAATGACAATGCGTACTACCTTGCTATCTAGTTCTGCAATTAGCCATTTCCATTGATAAATTCAACTTATAATATAGTCAATGTCGGTCTTCTCCGGCAATGGATGCACCTCCACCACAAAACCTTGTCGCCAGAGCCGAGCCGGATCTCTGACCAACACAGCTGAAGCTCTGCCATTGTCACATTGGAACAAAAGTGTCACATGATTCACATTGAATCTGGGGGTTGGAACACATCACTCAAAACCTTGGATATAGGGAAAGCTTGGGGTTGCAGCACCATGAACCCGAAGGAGTTAAAGGTAAGATTCAATTAATTAATTTTTTAAATGGCTTAAAAGTTGAAAGTTAATTTTTTTGTTTTTGTTTTTGGACATAGGAGTATTGAGATAGCAACATGGGCGGCCTTCCCATAAAGCAAATGAAACAATGGTTTTAGGCCCCTATTTCTGAAAGGTTCCCAAATTTACAAAAAATTTATATTTTTATATTATCTTAAAAAATTAAAATAAATAAAAATAGACTATAGTTCATAAAAAAAAAGCTACATATTTTCAATTCCAATTTAAACTCTACAAATTTGGAGTTCTCTTTGTTGTTTATATAATTTGACGTAGATAAATTTTTTTGTTTGTTGTATTTGTATAATATAAGTCAAATTTTATCTAATCATTTATTTCGGCTGAAATTGTTTTAAAGAAAATTAATGCCATGAAAATTTATGAAAACATTGAAATGAGAACTAATTATATTGTTGATTGTAGATGGCGCATAGGAGAATACCTAGTGCACCGGCATTTCTTTCGGGTGCTAATGTGCCTACTATTGCCCTATGATCTCATGAGTCTTCTGGTGTGCTTAAGATCTCTTAGTGCACCGAGGGACACACTTTTTACCACATTAAGGATCCCATTAACATTTTACTGGAAACATTTATCGGCTAGAGTTACTTCAAGAACAGAGCCTGCAAGAGTTAGAGTCTCGGAAATAGAGGAGGAAGAGGGTTCCCACCTACCAGACACCACAGGGAGGTAAGAGTTTGGAAGAAGCCAACCTACGCCCTTCGTCTCGGAGCCTGAAGCTGAGGAGAATGTAGGGACTGAAGGGCATCGGGTTCCATTGTCAACGTTCCTCCTGAAGAAGCTTCTTAAAGTCTTCCCAGAGATTGAAATCGATGAAGAAAAGAAAAATTGTGGTAGCACTTCGATTTATACTGCTAGGAGCCATTGTCGGCTTAGCTGTTGGTTATGGGTTCAACTTTCTAGGTTACAATAAATTCTATTTTAATATTTGTTATAGTTGCATGATAATATAGCTCAAATATTTTTGAAATGTTGTTTAGCTCCTAACAAGTCTTAGTAAATTAATACGTAGTACATGTGTTATATTTCGTAAATCATTTTGCCTCTTTTATATAAAAATTTGATAGTGACATGAAAAGGAAAAGATTTGCTTTATTTAGCGTGTCTGTGTAATTTCTCAACAAGTAGATTTTCACCTTTTAGAACATGTATAAGTTGTATCCATTGTTCTTCCAAAATTAGCTTAGGAAGCAATGGTTTCAACATTTCTTTTAAGATTTTGGTGAAACTCTTGTTGTTGAAGTTGCAAAGGCTAAATTTATCTATAGTAAGTAATGGTATTCATAGATAGCTTTTCTGGAATTTAGGTAACGATTGTGCTACCTATCACCCTAGGAATTGGCACTCCCACCATAAACTTTTTGCATACTTCTAACAAATCGTGCTTGACAACCTCCCAACATTTGCAACTAAATTCACCAAAAAAAAAATATATATATATCAATACCAGGTGCACTTGAGGAGTCTAGATCAAATACATCTTTTTTTAAACCTCCTTTAGTGAGACCATTTTAAACAAAATGTTTTTTAGTAAGAAAGAACATAATGTACTTAAAAAATTTACTCACCTTTCTCTACATCATAATGTGTATTCTTCACCTTTGGAATACTGAGACTAAGTTTATTCATGTTCCTTTCATACGTTCATGAATTGGATCTATCCCATGCAACAAATTGTATGACCATCAATATATACTACATTTGTCCAAATCAATATTCACTAATATATCCTCATGCAATTACTTCATCTTTGTTTCATTCATACAAAATTTTTCAATATTTTAAACAGTTAGAGTCAATTTTAAATAGAAATTCCTAAATTAGTTGCAAAAAATAACAGAATACCTTTTATATATTAGGTGGATTGCCAAAATTGAAGACTTTTCTTCGTCACTTTTCTCCATCCCTATTGAGAAACAAAGCAAAAGCCAACAAAAATGATTTTTGTTTTTTATAAAAATGAGTGAGATTGATGATTTTCTTAACAACAATCCCACTTTCGGCTATACCATCCATCTATATAGCCTACTTTGGAGCCCACATCTACAAAGCAAAGATGGTTCTTCTAGCATCTTCCGCCTGTTGGGTATTAGGCAGTGTCCTTTCCAGTTGGTTTTAGCCACCATTGGGATGGCACTTCAAGGTTTAGGCCTTGGAGGACCACTTTTTGTTATGTAGATAATTCTAGATGTTCTTGATCCATACCCTAGGAAAAAGATTTGATCTCATTTTCCGATATGCCATTGAATATGCATCTATATTGGCAAATGTGAATATCAATCTTTGTTCTTCATTTGGTTATGGATCTTTTTGGGAATCACCATTTGGGGTAGTAGTCCTCCTGTCTTCAGCACTGGTCCTGATTGCTAGCCATATCGAAGGTGCCCCGTTACGCGAAGTTGAAAACCAGAGGGATCAACGAAGTTGGCCGAAGTTGATAATTGGCCTCACTAGGGAGTTTACGACGCCATTGATGGGGACGGGTTTGTTGATCTTTTTTGGCCCGTTGATACTAGATTCATTAGGTTATTCTAGGTTTGCATCCTTCGCAGGTCCAGTGGCAGCCCCAGTGTTAGGAATTATGTCATACCATCATCTGTATGGCTATCTCATTCAGCAGTTTGAGAGGAGGATTTCGTTGCTTTTGACAGCCTTCAGCCTCTTGGCTATCTCACAGGTACACATTCAGCGTATTTTCATATAATTTTTTTTCCTTATTCAACATGTTAAGCTTTTTAATAAACTCACTAGTTAGTTTTTCTTTTGAGTTAAAATAGTTTGGAATATTCAGCATATTCCAGGTGCATGCTCCCGATCCTGATTATCATTTGGATAGAAGTGTTGCTAAGGAGTTCCTAGGATTGATGGTTCCAATGTAATTACTTTTGCAATTATTACAACTCCGTATGGGTGGGAGACAGAGTATGCAAAGAGCAAGTCCAGGTCAGGAAGAGCTTTGGAAACAACTGTTTCGATGGCTATGCAGGTGGTGATGGGCCAGATCAGGATGAGACTCTTCTGTGATGTTAAGAGTCGGATATTTGCTATTATAGGGGCCACAACAGTTGCACTAGGATTGATGGTAAAATCCTCGGTACCGGAAACGACTAGGACTCCAGTCAACTAAATGGATGAAAACATTTGGTCTCGACATAGGCTATGGAGAAGATTCATCAGGAGAAGAGAGATTGGTAGCACGATTTAGTAGTGTACTTATTGTCGTTTAGTAGTATTTATGCTAGAACTTTAAAAAAGTTGTAATTTCTGCTACATATGCTTATGTACATCCAATTTTTATGTTACATTAATGAAATTAAATTTCTCATTTTGATCGCCAACACATTGTTACATGATTTTCAAGCAAAGACACATTTGTTTCAAAGGATACCTCCCCCACAAACAAAGACACATTTTCTATATTGATAAAGATAGTAATTTCCTTTTCCATTATTGTTACAAGGTGACAAGAAAAGGATATTAGTAATTGTGGATTTTCAAAGACGAGCCAGCGATGGACGTTTCATTTACTTCGTGCAACATATATGTTCTATTCCGTGCAACACACGTGCACAAATAGGCTACAAGGTTATTTATTCCTACCATGTTTGTGACAAGATTTAAGTGTTTCACAAATTCATTATCATGGAGAATCGAGGATGGTTTAATGGTTAGTAGTTGGGTTTTTTTTTGGGCGGAAACCTATACTCGATTTTTATGGGGTGTAAGGGAGGAAGGGAATTTAGGATGGGTAGGGGAAGGGTTAGGGGTGGTAGAGTAGTATAGGGTAATAAAAAAATATTCATCATCAATAAAAGTAAACTCCATATACAGGGAGGGAACCACCTAATTGTCTTGCTGGTCGGCTGACCCCACAGTCTACCGAAGAACTCTTTAAGAGTAGCCATGAGGTTTAGGTGACTGTCATATTCTCTCAATCCCTTTAGTAATGGAGGGTTAGAGCTTGAGGAAAAAGATGAACTGTTGAAAATTTTAGTTTGTAAAATAAAATAATTTATTTAGAATTTAAGAATAATAATTAAGTTGGCAACCCTTCACGATGTATGTTAGTTATTTCCTTGTAAGTTAAGAGTTGTGTAATTTTGTTCCTTTTGATTCTGCAAGTGTTGTCTATAAATTGGTGAACTAGTGCAGGATTTCTAAGGAGTTTGTATTTCTAAATTCTAGAGAATATTCAATAATTGCAAGTTGCACGTTCTTGTGTTCTTTATGTCCTAGAGACAAATTGCTAAACAAACCCGGTTTACAACATGGTGGGAGCAAATAGTCTTAAGAACAGTGTCTAACACGACTTGAATACATCCAAATCTTTGTGATTCCCCCATTATTGTTAGATTCAAAAATCTATCAATAAAGTTCATTATTCTTCATCTTTACTCTTTTGTGTCTTTTTGTTGTCTCTTTGGTTACTACCCCATATACTTCATGAACCAGATGTTTTCTCTTTCTTTTAAAAAAAAATTACTCCCTCCATTCCAATTCAATAGGCTCACTTCCCTTTTTGAGATGTTTCAAAACTTAGTCCCACTTCAGACAATTAATTAAGTTTTACTATAAACTCTCTAATATACTCTTTCTACTTTCACTGAAATCAGGAATATTTATTAATTTTTATTAATTACTCTCTCATATCAACCAATAACTCACTAGTCATTAATAGGAGTGTAGTAGGAATTTCATTTAAAATTAATCACATAAACTATATTACCCACTTTTTTTTAATCTTCGTGTATGTCTAAATGGGTCTATTGAATTGGAATGGAGGGAATACTTAATAACGTCATTTTAGGCTGAGTTGTTTTATTTAGTTTACTGGATTTTTTTTCTTTCCCCACATATGTTTCGCTTTCCCTTCCCATTCTTTAAAAATTCTTGTGTTCTATATCAGCCAACTTGATTTTTTCATTTTTCCTGGTCTTAACCCCCATTCTTTCAATGTAACTAATATTCCTTTTCGTGTTTTATTGAAAAGGTGTTCATTGCTCATTTAATGAAATAAAATGGCAGAGCTTGATTTTCACTTCTTTGATAACCTCACCTTTGAAATGGAGCTGGTCTGTTTGGCCTGTTCCCCAGGCGCCTTTGGAGGGAGCGAGTGGAGTAGTAGAAAGGAGTTACCTTTTTTCCGGTCTCGTTCCGAGATACGGTTCCCGCGGTCACTGTCCACGCAATTTGATAGCAGAAAAGGCCATTTGGGGAGGGGGCGTCGGGGGTATGATCTTGGAGTTCATTCAAGTAGTGAAACAATTATATGAATAGAGTCAGTGGTGGAGGGAGGGGACCAGTTAGGGCAGTCACCTTTGCTCCTTTCTTGGAAAGTTTTAACTTGGAATAGTAACATTTCACTATAAATTTATGAAAAAAATGAACTTCGCCCTTATAATTTTTTTTTCCTCCTTTTATCCCATGGAAAACATTACATTTTTTTGCCCATACTTTACTGAAATTCTAGTTTCTTAACTGAATAGAGTTTTTCAATTGAGCAGTGAGTGGAAACTTTAGGGTTGAAGCCCTTTGTACATTTTGGAAGGGATGATTGAAAGAAAATAGTAACTTTCTTACATATAAATTAAATTTATGGAATGGTTTTATTTTGGTTTTTGATTTAAAAACTACTCCCTTCGCCCAAGAAAAACAAATCTCTTTATTGAATTAATGGATTGTTTTCTAGGATGCTACTAAAATTTACTCTCATCAAAACGATAACTCCAACTGAAAAGTAACCACACTATATTTTTAATCTCCAGATTCCTAATTATGTAATCGAAACACAACTTATAAGTTATAACAAGATACAACTAGAAAAAATAAAAAAGAAAAGGTCTCCATTGCGTAATACTCCGATTTCGTTAAGGGCGAAACACGCGCACCATTAAAACAATGGCGAGTATAATTAAACCAATATCTTATTTAAGGGCGAAACACGCGCACTGAAACTCTCGTGTAAAATGTTTCTAATATTACACTTTCTTGCTTGATCTTTCTTCGTATTCTTTCTCCAAATGATCTGAATGCAATAGATCACATAACATAAAGTAGTCCGATCCACTTATGAATGGTAAAACAATGAACAAGAAACAGGAAATTAAAAGGACAAAGAAGAATCAAATTCAAAATGATGCAAACTCACATGCGTACATAATTGAGAAAAAAGAAAAATTATTGTGCTGACAGAAATTCACCTAATTGCTTTTCTAATCATCAGGCCACAAGATCTACGAAAATGGTGTTAGCCATGTGATCACAACGGAGCTTCTGACCAACAATTTGAAAACTTGTCAGGCTCAAGTTTTTTGCAAGACGCAAGGATTATATTTTGTAAAATTTGAAACGAAGAGTTGTAGATTTACTCATTGTTTTAGACATGATATTTTCTGTTGGAGATTTATTGATGCAGTTTGTTGTAAGGGCTGGCTTATAAGTGAGCAGTGCACTCCTTTTATGTAGGTAATTAACTTTAATTTGCGATAAATTAATGTAGTTTTCCGGCAAAATAATTCGATAAGTTTAGTTAATCTCTTGAAGAGTCACTCTCTGGTCCATTTTATTTATCTCTCTAGTTTGAATATTGTATTTCATATTAAAGCAAAATAAGTTTGTGGAAAAAGGTACACGTGTCAAGCTCCTGTTAACCCGTTTCCCGCCAAAAGTTTTTAGCATACAAATGCTCGACGCATTAATTATTAAATGTAAGTTACGAAAATAATCACAATTTATGGATGAATTTGATTATTAAGGAAAAAATCACAAATAGTGATCATTTATTCAATGATTTGACCAAGATATGCAAGTTTCATTTTGAATGATTTGAAAATTATTACAAAATGATATTGCTTGAATATGTGGACGTTTTATCCATAGTTATTCGGCTTAAATAAAATAAGAAACTATCAAAAATTATTGCTCATTTATACTTTGATTTGAACAAGATTAGGAAGATTTTTTATAATCAATTTCAAAATAATTAGTGAATGATATTATAATTGAATGGACGCTTGTTCCTTAAATATTCGATTTAAAAAATAAGAAATTATTACAAATTATTCATTAAATGTTCCCCCTCCCCCCTCTGTATGTACCCGCCCACAACATCGTTCTTCTCATTCTCTGCTTAATATAGGTTAGAATTAGAATCATTTACCAAAATATTGTGTTTGTACCACTGGTCGCCTGAAATACAAGGATCAAAAGAAGTGGTCAGGAAATAACAGTACCAGAAAACCAAATTCCGTTTTTAAGAACTACAGTAATAAAAACGGAATTTCATTTACCGGTTATAATATGTATGACAAAAACGGAAAACCATTTTCCGTTTTAATTAAGTTCATTAATTAAAAAAAATTCGTATAATAATAATACCGGGAAATAATTTTCATAGATAATAAACGGAATTTAGTTTTCCGTTTTTAACTTGGAATGTTTGAAAAAAAAAAGTGAAGCCTAAAACTCACCAACCTGTGCAATACCAATAAACAGAACCAAATCTCCATTCAAACAGAAACAAGCAGCAACTTGTGCAACACCAATAAATAGAACCAAAGTTTCATTCAAATAGAAACAAGCAGCAAAAGTATTCAGTTCAAATCACAACCACAAAAATTCCAGCAACTAATCCATGTCTAAATCATAGAATTATCCCCAAATCATGTCCAAAACAGTTCAAAACTACGAAATACAACCTAAAAAGAAATTACTCCTCCGGCGATGGCGGCGTGGACCTAGAAGGTGTATACTTTTTAGGGGGTCTGCGTTTCCGATCCTGTTTTCTTTTTGCCAAAGGTAGGCTGGATTGCTGCAAAGTTTGGGATGCTTGAAACTCAGCATCTTGCTCTATAGTTGGGGTCACCTCAATCTCAATACCTTGCTCCGTAGTAGTTTGTTCCTGCTCCATAGTAAACATAGTTTGTTCCCCAGTAAACATAGTTTGTTCCTGGGGAGACGAGGTTTGAAACAAGTTTGCAAAGAACTCATTGGATTCTACTACTTTCTTTCTTCCTCCAATTCCAGCCTTAGGGATATTAGCCCTACGATGTTTAGCAACTGTTATGGGTCTTTGTCGGGACAATCGACAAGGCATTCTCAGCTAAAGCAGAGATTGAATCAGAAAATTCCTCACATGTCGCATTTGAACAACATTTCTCAGCCTTGTACGTTTCGACCTTCTTGAGAATGTCATTCAAAGTGCCCTTCTAGAATTTTGCAAAGAGAAAAAACTATAAAATAACTAAAAAGAATACAAAATAACAGTAATCTATTGAAAATGGCAGTTGAGAATTACAATAAAGAAGGGTGTGAGGAAAACTTACATATAATTTTGCCC